GCAAGATAAACGGTAAAAGATCTATTGGAAGAAGACAGAATTCTTGGATGAAAGACTTGCGAAGATGGTTTGGATGTTCGTCAAATGATCTTTTCAGAACAGCAGTTTCCTAAATTCGTTTAATTATATGGATCGCCAACCTTCGTAAGGAGACGGCGCGATAAGAAGAGAAGACTACGTTAAGATTGTAAATAATAAATAAATACATGAAATTATACACAAAAGTTTTAATTTTGGTTAAACTTTTAGATAATAATAAATAATAATAAGTAATAGTTAATTAAATGATTAACAAATGAACGTTGTCAGTCTTTAGACGTTTGTAGAAACAATTAAGTCGTGTGCGCATCTTCGGGATTCGCATCTTGCGCGGTCCGGTCCGGTTGCCATTTTATCCGACACCCGACGTCGCGGGCCACACGATAAAAAAGTGAAATGAAAATAAATCTGCAAAAAATGCGGGCGTAATCGAAAGCAGACCGGGTCCATTGCGCAACGCGCGCACGTAATCCGAAATAAAAGCAGTAATCGGAGGGGCCATGCCCAAAAATTCCGATAGCCAAACGTACGCAAAACTGGACCGCGAAATCGAAGAAATGGGACGAGTTTTGCGCCCGACAAGCGATGCAAAATATATCGAATTTCGACCCAAAATTCCTTCAGTGAAGTCATATCGATAAGTGGGTTCATTTAGCAAAGTAGTAATGTTTTTCATGCTGATTAAGCTGGCGAACGCAGAGAATCAATAAAATTTCTCATTACCGAATAAATAAGATCGCTGCATGGAGCACCCTACATATTTTTAATTCTTGTGCTGCAAATCTTCCGTAGAACATATAAGCTCCTAAACAATATTTTTTATCAAGCTGACGTCCAAAATGGAAAACACATTCGATGCGTCAAAAAACGAGTGATTTTTTGCTATTTATGAATATTCTGGTTTCCTTCTGTGACGTTTGTTGATAATTTGAACTTGCTGACGAAACTCGGAGCAAAGGGAGATTAACAGAGCTCATAAAAAAATCTATTCAAAAAGGTTTTTCAGTCTGAAAAACAGAGATTATTGTCAAAAAAGAAGAAAATTATGCTTGGTGAGTCATATGTCATGTCACAAGTAAATTACTGTGACACAGTGTATAGCCTTTGTTTAAAGCAAACTGACCTTAACGATTCCAGAATTCTTGCCTAACACATTAAAAACCAACCGGCTTAACTTGTATAATCGACGATATTTACACTCTGCCAACTTATTTTTCAAAATTATAACAAAGGAAATTCCAAAGTATTTGCACCAAAAACTGCCTCTCAGAACAAATGTACATACGTTAAACCTTCGTCTCCTAATTATCACTTTGAACTATTCAAAAGATTCTTCTCTTATCAAATTACAAGTTAATAAACTTCATGCTAAAATATGACAATAAAAACATGTGTTAATCTTTAAATAAAAGAGCAGTCATATAATTTCAAATGAAACTTTATCATACATTGAGAACTTAAAACATACCAATAGAAATAATTCTAAAATTTATTTTTCTCTACGAATAAGTACTTGGGTTAGGTGGGAGAACAGGCATCCACATTTAGTTAGTTTCTGCTAAAATACGACAGTAAAAAATGTGTTTCTCTTTAAATAAAGAAGCAGTTATATATTTCAAATCAAACTTTAGCATACATTAAGAACTTAAAATATATCAATACAAATAAATATAAAATTTAGGCTTCATCAGCATGTGCGTATTTTATTCAGGTTTCTTACATTCTACTTTTATTTTGTGTAAAAAAAACCGACCCAGGAGGATTCCAGAAGGTTTGTAAATAGTATATACAGTAGCCAGTACAGAAGTTCTTGAAAAAATTACCGATTTTTTGTTTAATTACAAAATTGAATTTGAAGTGTACTCTTAAAACCGAGGAAAGATATTATAAATTATAATAAAGATATTAAATTAAAGGGTAGAAAAACTTAACGCAGTTTGAAATGGATGATGATACTTAATACATTCTAAAAGTGCGAAGTTGCATATTTGAATAAAAAACAAAGTACCTACCTGCTTATAAAACCAAAATAAGATAAATAAAATAAAAGTTGTTATCTAATCAAAATTTTAATAAAGTTTAATAAATTTTTAAGTTTTCGTGTTATCACTAATATTAATTATAATAATTAATTCACAATTTCATTATAGTTGGTTACCTTTTTTTAAATGCTGTTGAGGATGCTACTCTAATTGTAAAAAAACTAAATAAAAAACAAATATATAGAGAGCCCAGAAATATTTCGGAACGTCACTTTAGAGAGAAAAATCAAAATTCCCTTGTACCTTGTATTTCTAAAATTTGGCATTCGGAGAGTTTTGTTTTATAATGGTGATTTTGAAGAACTTGGCATTCTTTAGTCAATGGTATTTTGGAAAAAAAGGAGTAAAATATTTAATTTTTATTAGACAAGGTCAAATTAGGCCGCGTTATAAGTTTTTTTAGATTGCTATTATGAATTTAACCTTAAATACAGAAACAGTTTCTGAAAATTTAGGTATATACTGAACAAATAATTTTCTGTTATGCTTTTGGCTAAATATTTGTGACGCACACTGTCTAAAATAACCATAATATAAGTATCAATATACTACATTATTTTTGTAAAATAAATGGCAACATTATTTATTAAAAAAACTTATGAAAAAAATTGACATAAAAAAAAAAGAAATAAAATTATCATTAGTAAAGTTTTATTTTAAAATTCTACCTATAAAATATATGCAAGTAAATATTTCAATATTAAATACTATTTTTTTTAAATATAAACAGCTTCGTAACTTTGGAGAATGACGACGAGAATCCACTTATCGAATCAAATCCTGGTTGCGAAACGATTGGCCCAGTTTCACTAGCATTATCGACGTTTTGCCAATATTTTCTGTTGACATTTTCAGGGCGTCGCCGTAACGGTGGGAAACCCACGATATCTGACCGGATTTTGAGATCAAAGTGTCTAGTTTTGGGATAATAAGTTTTCGGCAATTTTTTTTAAAGCTATCAATCTTCCGCGTATGACGATGATGCTCTCGATCAATGTAGTCGATAAATCCTAAGCGGAACCTGAAAAGTTCAAGGATCGGCATTGTTTTTTTCTCAAGTGGTGCTAGGTATCCATTCGTTGTAATACCAAAACCTTTTAATTAAGAAACTTAAAAGGTATTGTACGCGAATGTAAACAACTTTTTGTGCAGTTTTTTTTTCTCAGCATTTAATTGTCGTTAATAATAAGTAGCAGGAAATGCGGCCCAGAATATCCAAAAGCTTCAGATTTGCAAAATTGTAATGAAAAAGCTTTTGAATATGGATGCATAAATTTTGTAATATGACCAACGGGAATTGTTGCCTTAGTCATAACTTTAAAAATCTTAACTTTACTTGCAACGCTCATGGACAACTGTGGCGCTAGGTAACCGTTTCCCGACATCGTTAAATGTCAATCAGGCGGATTTCGATGCAAAAGTAAACAAACTCGTTAATTTGTTTATTTGTTCGACATTTTATTATCTTTTATAATATTAAAACATTCAACAAAACAAAAACTTGCTTATTTTTGATGTACTCGTAATAGGGTAACGTTTGCCGGCCATTTATTTACAGTTTTAATTGCATCAACCAAAGAAACTCCACTTATTGCGAATAAATGTATAAAGACACATTATTTACTTCCTCTTTACAAAGCAATGCCATGAAGTCCTTCAGGCAGTTTTGAAAAAATACACCCCTGTAGCTATTCTTTCACGACCCCGATAGGAGCTATCAATGGGCGATAACGCGACAAACCTCTGGATTACCAAATTCTGAAACATAAAAAAAAATAAGTTTTTTTTACACCCAGACAGTTCACCCTTTAATTTGGAAGTAATGTCGCGGACGCGGGTATTTCATCTAATAACGAATTACATATAAAAAATATATAGAGCTTTCATTACGACAAATTTATTGTACATTTTATTGGGGGGTACGACCTGATCATTGACATTAATTCAAACGTATGTTGCGAATTATAATTATTACAAGATCACGTCGTCCAGAAAAATTCAGGCCCGTTAAAAAAGAAGAAATAACTGAGAACAAGGGGCTCTAAAATAAGCAGCGAACTGCAAAAATAACTCAACAACATAACCTGAATAATAGAAATAGACAAAATCCTAATCTAGTCAATTAAAAAGTAGGAGACGGTGGGGCAAGGAGGTCCACCTCAAAAATTAAATAAAATTTTGTTTTCTCGTTATTATATGTAATTATAAATTCTGGTTGTTCGTTTATAAATTCCATACTTGACACAGAATGAATCAAACTTTAAACACAATAAAGAACACAACGAATTTAACGAATAATTTAAACGCAGACCTTTCGACATGGTCAATTTAGATATGATATTCGAGAAAAATCATTCTTAATACTATTTTATTAGGTAATTAATAAAAACGAACAAAAATTTGTCATTGCTGCTAATTGTTGCAAAGCCAACTGTTCTCCGATCCAATCTGACCCACCTGCTGGACCTAGGTGTCGTTTAAACTTAAAGTTTTAAGTGAAAGCATCATTATAAGCTATAACATTGGGAGTCGCATATATTTCAGCAAATTTGGTACTCCATATTCAACGAAGAATAGTTGCGGACGTTATACAAATGAAATTAAATTCTTTTTTAATTTAGCGGTAAAATTGTTGTTTCAAAAAAAAATATTCGCTTCAGTTGATGTATTTCTGCCGAAACACCATATAAATGTTTGTAGACCCAGCGATCCAAAGCTCCTAGCGTCAGATGTGAGCTTATCGCCGTGTGTTAACCATATCCGACCCACCGTACGTGGATCGGATATTGACGCGAGACGAAGGCGCCAAAACAGAGACAATATCCTAGTATAATGGTGGAGGGGAGTCGCAGTAAACTTTCAAAAACCTCGGGTAATAAAATTAGGGGACACACGCTACGGCACGGCCCCCCTAAAACACCTACTTTACTTATTACCTCATACGAGGCACTTGATCCAGTTCTCCATTCAAGTCGATCGTCTCAACATCACACGAGAAAAAATATTGCGATCCCAACGTTTCGATCTATCGACACCGAAAGCGAGAGTGATTTTATAAGTTCCGTCATTCCGTTTTTCGTCCTCTTGCAATGATTTCGAATTAGACGTCCGCATCGATCATGGGGACGAGAATATTGCTGGCGTGTTTGCTCGCGTTGAGTGCGGCACGCGACGTTTCGACCGCGAAAGATTGCGCGCTTGCGAAAAAACCCCAAAGCAAGCTGATATGTTACTACAGCAAGATGGCGGACGTGTCGGGGTGTTACTGCACGCACGTCGTTTTGCCTCCCGATACGGACGCCGACGCGGTCCGGGGGTTGAAGGCGCGGGTCAAAGGGGTCAAAGTGTACGTCCGGGTCGGCGAATTCAACCAGGTGAGTTTTTCTTTTCATTTTAAAAATATAATTTTTTTTATTTTGTATTTAATAATATATAAAATAAATACATGTGCAAAAGGCAAATCAAATCAAATTACTTAATCAAATGTTAAATTTTTTTCATACATTTTTAATTCACACTGTAAATTTTCATCTTTTAAAATCCAGAAAATCGAAAACTTTCTAAAAAAAAATCGTAATTCATATCAAATAATCACTTAAAAAAATTAAAAGCAACGATATAGTTAATAAATAAGAAAATGTGATGACATATTCGAAAAAAGAATATTAAATTCAATAAAATATTATTAAAAAGTGAAACTGAACCATAAAGAAAATATATAATAAGACAATTCTTTGAAAAATGAATACCCACAAAATGTTTTTTGGCATTACGTATTACTTATATTGTTTTTATTAGTTGATCAAATGGCAAACGACCGCTTTTATTGATGCGCGTGATTTTTTTTCGGTCTTTTTGAGAACTCAATCACCTTACGTTCGAAGGTGAACTTAACATAATCAGTTGCGCCAAACCGAATGACATTTGGACCATAACGACTTCTCGATAAGGCTTTGTCCCATAATCCTCTTAAAACTACACTATTTTTTTGGTCTAATTAGCCAATTAGCAAAGTTTAATCAGCATTTAATGTTCGATAGACCCGCGTTTGAGTTTATATGGTGAATCTTCTTAAAGCAATAAAAAACGCAATCTCTACTGGGTTTTAAATAATCACTTGTTCTACAGGGTTTGATAAACCTCCTTAAATCGACCAAAGTGGACGGCCTCGACATAAACCTGAAGAAGTTGAACTCCAAGTCCGACATAGTCGATTTTATATCGACCGTCAAGAGCAAAATCGGATCTGATCTGGAGTTAATGCTTTCGGTGCCCGCTAGACCCGAACTGCTCGCCAAATTCTTCGACTTTAAGGCTCTGAGCAAATACGTCAGCGCTTTTATCATGCAGACAGATTTCATGGGGGCCTCCGAAAACGTCACTTTCCATCCCAGCAGGCTTTCGGGCATGTGGGACATGCAAAATACGGTAAGTTAGCCCTCCGATGTTGATTAAAGAATGAGTGTGATTTTTCATTTAAGTTAATACCTATTCATCTGAAATATTTACATAACAGGGTATCCAAAAAGTGTCATGTTTATGTTCAATTTACAAAATCCTGATCATTTTTATAAATTAATTTTTTTCAAGTTTATTATTATTTGAAGTGTAATTTAAATAATTTAAAACAGCCCCGATTCACTTCACTAGCGCTTTCACTTGTCAAAAGACGCCAGCACGCCCGTGGAAGAATAATATTAGAAAAGAATAATATTAGAAAAGTGTCCTTTTCTCTACGATAAATCACATATACATACAGGGTGTTTCAAAAAACGTGCCATTAATTTAGAGTGTAAACAGAAAATTAAAAAGTTCACATTAGTTTGATTAATCAACATTTGATATTAATATTTATTCATGATGGTGGGTAGACCGAGTTCACCTAGTTGAGTCGCTATTTCGATGCTTTCAACTTACGAGGGAAGTCAAAAATAAGCTCCCATTTGTTTGCCGACCAATCGAACATTGGCAGGTCCCCAATTCTTTAATATATGTACTTTTTTATATTTTGAGGTTGTTCTAAACTAAATTGTTTAATTATATTATATTTTTTAAATGCCTATTTGTATTATTATTAATCAAAATAGTATTAAAAAATAAATTAATAAAAAATAAGAAATTAACTCTGATAAGTTGTATACTTATAAGTTTTTCCGATAAGTTGCTAAATGGAGAAGATACAGGGGATATTTTAATACAATATCTTTAAAAAGACCTTCTATTTCAAAAACGGAAAGGATTGGGGAAATTCCGTTTGTATTATCTTCCGTTTCACAAAAAGGAAGTAGCGAATAGGGAAACAGCTTTTTTTTTAAATACCCTGTATATTTTCACTCCCTTAAAAAAAAAGAACGTTATTGGGGGCGGAACCAACATGTAGGGGGCGTAAAAACTGCGGTCCACCTTTCGTACCTCGAAGGTCGGGTCTTTCGTAGGTTTGGCGCGACCCGACAACGCGACCTACAAAACTGTCCGCTGCCCTTGAAAGATAGACCGTGTGAAAATCGAATTAGGCTGCGAGCGCGTGGGCGTTTAACTTTCCTTCGAACTTTTTTTATTATTTATCCATCTCGGCAGGCCTTGACGCGCGGCGCCTACGACTCACCGCGCATACGTGTCATGCAACTCGCCAGGTGGGCGTGGCCGATGTGACAGATGACGCTTTCGTCGCGCCCTCTCTGCCACCGTTCACATGTGGAAAAATATGTGTATAAATAGTTTCAATTTATAAAGATGGAACATAAGTCAGCATGGGGTCTATGGACATCGTATCAAAACAAGTTAGGTGTATCCATATAGCTATTAGATAATATAGTGTTCCTTCTAGTGTTTTTCGTAGACGTTTCACGCTTGGAATTGAAATTTCACCGCTAACCTGCTTTTTGCGCCATTTTCTTTGTAAACAGCCATTTCCCCACGCTTAACTAGTTTTTCGAAAACATTTCACGAGATTTGAGCATATTTGGAAACAATACTTCCTAAAAAATGCCGCTTCCAAGTTTATTAACGAACTGTCAGCGGTCATACTGGTTGTTGAATGCCGCAAGGTAATGTGGAATGGACCTTCTCAACATTTTTATTCATAGTTGCTTCATAAATTCTTCTATTATCAGCACTAAGCCTAGCTATGTTTGGCAAATAGGAGTAGGAGGATATCGCTGCATAGAAAGAAAATGGCATAGTGGGTGAAATGTAGAGAGGCATGCCCGGAAGATCACACGCTTCTCTCGCAAAAATGAGAAGCAAATAACGTCATGTGAACACTCTTTTCTTTCCTCATATATCAATAAAATTGATATATTGAATGTTTATAAAACTAAATAGCAAATAAAAAAACACAAAAGGACGGTGAGTTTATTTTTAAATTATAATAGATATTTATTATCGAAAATATCGAAGATAACCGATGGACTTGAGAAAAACTGATCCGGTTTTCGCCATATGTGTTTAACGTACGCTTCGATTTGCATAAACGTTTGGTAGATCCTGTTTAAACGCCAATATAACGTAAAATGTGCGGTAATTAATAATGCCGGGAGGTAATAACAAAAACAACGGTATAAACGGCCGGTCATTTTGGATCAAGGCGATTGGCTCTCGTCGTTACATCTGATACCGCAATCGGACGCGTTTTCGTCGAAAAATGCCTTTCCCTTTCGCCTTGGCCGTCGCGATCGCCCGATTTAGCACCAACAGAATTGAGATATTACGTTAGATATATCAACACAATGACTAACGGGGCGATAAATAGATTACCTACGAGTCTTCATTTCTATATTCGGTATAGGCGACCACGTCATTGGTAAACACGGGTATTAATCACGCCTAATTGATATTGGTCTCAACGAGCCATTAAACCGAATCCGGAGGTGATTGCGCAGCGGCTGCACATTTATATAAACAGATAATGATTGGAACTATATAAAAACAGCATTAAGTTTTGGCCGATAATTTAATAATTTTTCGCCTTTAAAGCCCGGTAGACACGATGTAATTTCTATATATATTATATAGTATAGCAACGTGTGATAAATTGCACATTAATGCAATTTTTTTCGAATTTGTGTTTGTAAATTGGCGCAAAAAGTTTGTTTTCATAATCTCTATGAAAAATGTAAATAAAGTCGAAATGACCAAAGATTGCTCCTAAATGTCTAAATAATTATTTTATAAGATATAGAAAACGCTTATTGCTTCATCGCAAGTTAATAAATAAAATATTAATAAATATTTCAATATGTAACTTAAATGAGAGATAAGAGAGTTGCACAGTCATTTGTTTTAAAAAATGGACAAATTAAGGAAGAGGATGATCCAATAACCGAAAGACATACTGGTAACTTCTAATGACGCTTACAAAAGAAATGGAGTTATCAAAACCAAAGAAAACTATTTGATCCAAACACTAGTAATTCAAAAAAGCTTTTCGTTTTTTTGTTTATAGTTCTTAATCAGTTTTCGGCAAGGACTCAATTATTTCTTTTTTATATATGATCATCTACATTTCACTTATATTTATTTAACAATTTCTTTTTGCGATGACAATACTTTTATTATGGCTTAAAAAAATTTGAATTCAGCGCCTTAAAGCGTCTTGCTTATCTTATTATGAATTTTGTAATAACTGTTCCCTATTTGTTTACTATTTTGATTTTTAAGGTTAGTTTAGTTAGACATTGCGGTCTGAATAAAACTTAAATATTTAAAAATGTTGCTCTTATTGAATAACTTCAACCCCACAACTCAGGCATTATATATTTGAGCAGTCAAAGGATATCAGGGTTTATTAGTTTGATACGAACATTCCCCAATCGCACACAGGGTGTTTAAAGAATACCTTCGATTGAGCGGCATCAATTTTTCCTTAGAAATCAAAATTCGAATGATTGAATTGACCTAGCTAACAAAAACCCCCATCGTGGTAGTTTTGCAGATATTATGAACACTATATAATTCCGTTAAACTGATTGGGTTGCTTTCAAATTTCACGATAACTATAATACAAAGTAACAAAAACGAAGAAGAAAATTACAACAAGTTATGAACTATAGCGATGATTTTCTTGACACTCCCGCTACATACATACCATACAAAACTTTTTATTAGTTCCTTGGGACTTCTCAAGTCAAATCTAAATACATTGTATATTTATAATATTATCACGCCCTTCTATCAAATTTAAACACATTTTTATATTGGTATTGCTATGAAAGTTGCTCCCAGCCAATCTTAAACTTATGTTTTATTGTTTTTAGTAGACATCCCGTTCCAAATAATTTTTTTGTCGAGAATTACTACTTTTACGTCACTTTTACTTATATCTTAGGACTTCCTCAAATTTAGCGGTCTATTCAAACTATCTGACCTCATCCTGACGGCGAGATTGCCTATATGAATTTTTCTATCACGGGTCCTCATCTATTAACATACCTACCATTGTATTCTTTTCGCAATGCAAAATGGTTTTTTCCGAACAATGCTGCGGCCTCGACGTTCGGTTGTGATTTTTAAACCTTGACACCCATGGGGATCGGTCGCCGAAGCTGCAGATCCGATTACGGACCAAATGCGGACGCGTACGCTATTTCTTCCTTCCGATGGCGTATGAACTCATATTTTGATACCGCGAGTCGACTTTCGCAATAAGATGCATCTTTGCGAGGCCGTTTACTCACCATCATCTTTAGGTTCAATATTAAAGTTTCGCCATTGAAGTACAGCCACGGCCTGGTGTGACGTTCCTTTTAAGTGTATTGTTCTCTCATGTCACGTCTTCATCCATATTGCCTCAAAAATAAAGCATTAAGAATCTTTAACAAAAAAGTACCCATGAAATAAGAATATTATATATCTGGAATGTGCATCAACAGAAATTCATCATCACTTTTATGGTTTACGAATTGCAGAAATACAGAAAAGGTTTCTATCAAACGTCTAACCTCCAATTATTTTATAATGAATTTGCATATGAAAGCACGTATCGAAGAATAAATCTTCCAATGTATAGAGAAACCATCACATTCAATTTGTTCTTGTCAATAATACATTCACTGTGGTGTGTGGGGTGTTAGTACAAGGAAACCATGTCTTAGACCACTTTATCTTTAATTCAAAGAAACAAAAATGGTGTTCCTTCCCTTACTTTTTTGTATTAATTAGATTTCCAAAAAGAACACTGCTAAATCCACATGATGTAGATTAATGCTGCAGACCTGGAAGGCCTATGGCTAGGATGACTTTGTTTCTCAATTCTTTTCTGTCTTCTGTTTTTCTTCTCCAGTTGTAATCCTTGGTAAACTTATGTCCTTCAGCAACTAGTCCATCCTGACTCATCTCAAGTGTAATTTGATATATTAGTCCTGTTCTGTTTAAAATTTCTTATCGTACAACATATTCCAGTACGTAAGTAAACAATCCTGAACACAATGGGTCTCCATTGTTTAATTGTTGATTATTTAGTTGTTGTTTCACATCTTCCCATAACTCGAAATTCTCGGTTATGCTGGCTCCTTTTCTTACACAACATTTCATCTGCTCGAGTATAAGCTTCATCATTCTAACGAGCGTGTTATCTACTCCTAACTTCTTACGTGCTATTGGTCATATTCAGGTCTGCCACGTATGAATGGAATAACCATAACCTCCCGCCTCCATATTTCTTTTATTATTTAATGCATGAGATCAATGAGTTTTTCTCTACACTACAAAGTTGGTATGTAATATTTTTGAACTCGTTGGTGCACCTTCGTACCGCTCCTCTTCTAGTTCTGTAACATGGTTATCTAACGATTTCTTAGAACCTTCCTTGCCCTGTGAGTTTAACAATTCCTACATCGCACTAACCTTTCGCTTTCATCTCCTATCAATTTGGCTTCTTTAGTTTTATCAATTTGACTTTTTGCTAGATAGCTTTTGTGATTCTTCCTATGCCTTTTCTTTTTTCTCTTAATATTTGTTTACCTCTTATTCTTTGTTCTTCATATTTTTTTCTCATGCATTATGTATTGTGTTTTAACATTTGCCCTCTTTCGTTTAGCTCGATTTCACAAAACCATTTTCTTGCTTTTTCCAAAGGGGCTCCAAAGTAGTCCATGGCGGTTTTTAATTTAAAGAAATATAATTTGAAAGATATGAGAAGAAGTGACCTGCAAATGATAACATTTCTCCGACTGAAACCGTAATAACCGCTGGTTTGTTTCCAGGATTCCTTGGTCGATTTGGTCTCCGGCCTCGGAGCTCCGTTACCCAAGTTGGTGATCACCGCCCCCGTCCAGGCATACCACTTCACCCTCCAGAGTGCGGAGTATACCGCACCTGGGAGCCCCGCGTTGGAGTTGAAGAGCATCACCAGAAACGATCTCTGCTCGCTGATGGGCGAGAGTCGAAACTGGACGTTGGAACGCGACGAGGATCATACGGGACCTTACATCTTCAGGTATTGGGGGACGGGCATTTTATTTTCGCTAATCGGTTACAGTCTAAGCGCGTTTCGAGGAACTGACAGCGCAGTTGGTATTAATAGACGATTGGGCGCGTCCATTTCATGGTAATTAGTCACCGATTCGGATCAGACGCGTTGAGTTATTGATGATGTATAATTAACGTTAATTCGACGGTAAAGACGTTCGTTTTCGTACAGTTGTGGTCGGTAGAAGGTTCGCATTACTGCCATATACGGAGTGAAAGAGTATGAACAAAACCTTCAATTTTGGTCAAGAAGAAAGAAATTGACACTGTTTTCGTATTTTGTAAATTTATTCAATTTTTGATTTGAAAAGCAGAACAAAACAAGGAACATTGGCCGTTTAAAAGATAATTTTAGTTGCAATTTTCTTGGGCAATCATTTTTCAATTAGTTTCGAAGAAAGTTAACCATACTTTCTTGTCCTTAGCTCTTGAAAATTGCAGATTTGAAGGACTATTATAATGGATGAAAAGAAAATTAGGATGGTGGATAACTAGAAGTGATTTTGTCTTTATTTCATTATCGAGTTAGCAGCATAAGACGGATTGTTTGAAAAGTGAAATGAAATATTCTTCTTCTTTTGGTTTCTTCGTGACTATACATTTTTATGGATAAAGATCTCTTTTTTTCTTCAAAAAGACAGGAAACCTCCCGGTGAGCTCCACCGGACTTAAAAAGCAGAAAATGATAAAGAACATCTTTCTTTTTTTCTTCTTTCTCCTGTTACTACGTTTCTAATTATTACTTTCATAATAGTCGTGTCTGTTTTCGATACACGTAACAGGGCTATTACTAAGAAATTCATATTATCTATATTTTATCCTCGTAAATCCTATTCGAGATCGCGTTTCCGTCGGAGCTATAGAATGCGGCAAAAAATTCCAGCAAATAAAACGAAAGCGAAATTGCTTTCGACTCGTACGTTCCCTCATAGCACAATAGTATCGCGGCACACTCTTTTAATTGGTCCGCGTTTTTTTCCATCTTAAATTTCTTTGCGTTCTTTCGTCGACACGGCCAATGACGTTATGTCCAATGGAGGACCGACAACCTTTAAAAACTAAATAGTGTATTTATAATTTCATTTTCGAAGGCACTATTTTTTCATTCAAAAGACAGTGTAGAACGCATCTGGTGGGTCGTGGATATACATTTTCATTTTCCTTTTGCAAAATATTAATATTATGGTTTGATTGGTTTTTCGGATAACCTCATTTAGAAAATAAGACCTACATTTTCTCTCTTAAAATCTAGCGTATTTTTAAAGACGTGTATATACAGGGATCGCATTAAAATCAACTTTTTCAGTGTTGAAAATAAGTGTCAAAACGAATGGTTTTCCATTTTCGTTTTGATGGATGATATACCGGGTGACACAAGAAAGTGATTTTTAGATTCAGGAGATTATTCTATGTAGGCTAGGACAGTTTTTCTCATTTTTTGTTTTTTTTTTTTTATTTTATTTAATTGTTTAAAATTGTGTCTAGTAGGCTGTGACCATCATAAATACTATTTATCGGGTCACTCGATCATGGGAAAAATTGTAATTGAAACTTTTCTGTACTTGTCTAATGGCAAATAGCATTTAATGTAATAAACTATTAATTTATAGGATAACCTAGTTTTTTCAAATAGCACCTTAGTGTGAACAAGTACTTTTTAAAACTGGTACTTATTTTGACACCAAAATTGTCAAAATCCGTTAAAAAATAAGTTCACAGAAAGGAAGAAAACTAGATAAGTAAATACTTTTTTATGAAAACAAAATTAATTGTCAAATCGGTAAGATTAAATATGGAGAAGAAACTCTTGACAATCTCATGCAGCGGGAAGAAAAAAACAGATTAATAATTAAAAAAAATAAAACTCAAGGGAGAGTTCTGAGAGAGCTGAGATTCAACGATTAGTATTTTTTGTTGAAAGTGTTTTATTATGGTAAAAGTTGATATACTTTTGGAATACAGTCGAAAACTAACTTAAGTGTTGTACGTTATAAGCTACAAGCACTTTTTACCGGCAGAAGAAGAGAATAGATTTTTTTTTCTTTTTACTTTTTCATTTACGATTTTTCCCATGATCAGGTGACCCGGAAAATGGTATTTATGATGATCACAGCCTCCTAGACACAATTTTCAAAAATAAAGTAAACATTTAAAAAAGCAAAACTGCTGCCTGAATTCAAAAATGCAAAAAATATAGGTTGCGGCATTTAAAATTCGAAAGTTACTGTCGTTTCCGTTCAAACCGGGAGTGCCCTTAACCCTTTAAAGCTGTTTAAAAGTTATAGAGTGTTACCACTTTCTTGTGTGACCCGGTAGATGGTCGTTGCACATCAGACATTGCTTATACAATTCTTCAATTCTGGTAGTTTAAGAAATATTTTTTTAGCATTGCTTGCTAGGGTTGTGGAATTGACCTTTCAAATTTTTTAACTCAATTGACCAGTCAATTGTCCGAAATATATTTTTAAATACCATGAAATTTATATTCATTTATTTATATTAATTTATATTTTGCGTTAAGTCGCCATCGCGTCGTTTTAGGAACCAAATAGAGTCGATACTATTATTGGGATTCCCGGAATTTCTAAGTATCGTATTCGGATATTCCTTGAAGAGGATTCTAGGTAAAAACGCATAATAATTTGTTATAAAATACATATTATTTTTAAATAATGATAGGTAACACTCTACAATTGCAAAATGATTAAAAACATTTTTTGGCTAGTCAATTAACAAGTGGTCAATTGACCGGTGAATTAAGAAGTGAATTGAATACCATTGTTTTCTTTCTTTCTTTATTTATATCAAAGTTCGGCCACAAATTGCGCAGTGCTATTGAACTAGGGTATTAACATTTTGCCCGTGGTGCTTGCTTGAGCGTTAAACCGTAACGTCTAGATAAAAGGCCGTGACAGTGGCAATAGATCTCGACGAAAACGGCTTTAAATGGTAACGTTTTACTTTCGTTGGTGATTGCCGGGCCTTGCTGTTCTGGAAATTTCCACGTAAACGTTCTCTATAGATTACGCTTTTAGCGCAAATACGTTTCAGCCTGTAATTAATAAATGAAATATCGTTCTCGTTGTGAGCGTTATTATAAATATTGAACGACGTTCCAATAAGGAAATCAGCGATCGCCTACGTATTAAGCTGCGCATTGACTACTAATTAAGAGGATGACAAATGAGTTTTTTAAAGAAACAACAGCGCCGCCTTGGTTGAGTGTACAAAAATGTAATTTGATTGCAATGAATTTAAAAAAAAAGCCATAACATAATTTTTTGAATTTTTTTGTTGATGGTTATTCAATATGAAATGAAATGCTGTGAACTTTTTTTTGACTTTTTCCAAATACTTTGATATAATTTACCTGGAATTTTCTGCTATATCACAAGCGTATTTTTCATTTTGGCTCTGGGACACTTTTTATTTTGAGATTTTCATGGGGGCTAATTAACGTTTGGATTTTTTTTTCCAAATTGTATTTGAACTTCAATTAAAATGAAATTTTCAATAGACATATTTAATACATTTGCAAAGTTATGACGAATTAACATGGAATTTCGACATTTTATGCCAAACAATTAAAATTTTTTTATTGAAATAGTATCCTATACGACATTTATGATTTTTAATTTAATTTTTAGGCGACACACTTTTAATCGGACAATGCCTTTTCCTGCGGTGAAAGAACCCTATCTCCATTATCTGTTGGTATTGGCCGCGCCTTCGTTGTTCGAAAAAATTGATGCTGCAGGTTGTTCACTCGCATTCCTATATAGTCCAGTTATGAAAGCACTTCCCGGTATGAGTCGGAAATAAAAGGACCGAGTGTCAATTTAGATTTAGATCGTACTTTACCTATTCGAAATTAATAATGCTATTGCGCAACCGTTGTGATCTAAACTGGAATTTCGTCGTCGCAGGTGTTCCTCGGGTGTTCCACAAAGCTCTCGTCTCGGTCCCGCGATCAGAACTGTAATTAATAATCAATTGGATTGCTAAAAAATATCTTGATTTTTTTCAAAATCGTTAAATAGTTTTTTGTTTTTTTCGAAATATTTTTATCGCGCTCCGAAAACACTTCGAACACTGGAGCGCGAGCATTGAAGATGCCAAGTGAGATTTTGGCGAAACGTCTGCAGGATTCCAGTCGGAGTTCAACAAGCGAACGGATGATATCCCGGAATATAGTGTCATCATATATATATATATATATATATATATATATATATATATATATATATATATATATATATATATATATATATATATATATATATATATATATATATATATATATATATATATATATATATATATATATCTTTCTCGTAAGTTATCGTTCACTTTTAGGCAGATTATTATAGTACATAATTATAGTATTCTGTGGGGGATGTGGGGACATTTTTTGGTCTTCAAAGGAACGTTTTTAGGTAGTTTATAGGCTAAAAAATATAATCGTAAAGCTAAATTTATGCAAGAGAGAGAGAGACTGTTGACTGTATAGTTTCAGATAGTTCATATAGTTCAATAAAAATACTGTAATAGTATAATCCAGTCAGAGCATATGTCCAGCTACGTCATGCATAGTGACGTAATCAAAAACGAGCCCTATATCTTAGTTATATGATGAAGATTGCAAAACTGGCAAACAAAATTCCTATGGCAATTTACGATATCCAGTAATTGAATCCACAGCAACTTTCTGACATTATTTCTTCGATACTGGCGCACGATATTTACAATTTCTTCAAAATGACTTAATTGCTACCTTCGCAATCTTTTTTAGAAATCCAAATCAGCTTGATATGCGATATTTGGTTTTAATAGAATGGTGCTGCGCGAAGCGCCCGTTGTGGACAAATAGGTTGTCCAATTTGCACTTCTGAGAGTTTGTAGATATCTTTTAAACTCTACATACGAGGGCAGCGCCATATGCATATGAAAGAAACAAAGTAGAGTAACATTTTTTTATTATTTTTCAGTATAATCCCCCTTAACTTCAATACACTTATTACATCTCTTTATTAACAACTCAATCTCTTTAAAAAAATATTCTTTTGGTTTGTCTGCAAAATGATGTAAAACAGCCTCTTTTAACTCAACTTCGTCGTTAAACCGCCATCCACGTAAGTCCTTTTTCAAATATCCAAACAAATAATAGTCGCTGGAGGCTATATCTGGACTATAGGGAGGATGTTCTATCTGTTGGAACCCACATTCTAACATGGCAGCTTGTGCAACACCAGCAGTATGGACAGGTGCATTATCGTGCAAAAGACGCACGCCATCTCCCGTCACAATAGTTTCTATCACAGGCTTCGGTTCCAACCCACAGAGTTCCAAAAAAGACCGCGCACACTTGACACGGCGTTGTTTTTGAATAGCCGAAAGGTTTTTAGGAACCCATCTTGCACTAACCTTATGCATACCTAAATGATCGTGCAGGATTCGACGAACACTTGTATCAGAAACCTTAGTAATTTCTGAGATTTCCTTGACCTTTAAACGTCGATCACTCAATACCACCTCTTCCACAATCGCAACAATATCTTCCGTTATGACCTCCACTGGTCGACCAATTCTTGAATCATCTTCAAGGGACGCCTGCCCCATTCGAACAATGTTCGAAGTGTTTTCGGAGCGCGAGCATTGTAGATGCCAAGTGAGATTTTGGCGAAACGTCTGCAGGATTCCAGTCGGAGTTCAACGAGCGAACGGATGATATCCCGGAATATAGTGTCATCATATATATATATATATATATATATATATATATATATATATATATATATATATATATATATATATATATATATATATATATATATATATATATATATATATATATATATATATATATATATATATATATATATACATTATTATATTATATTATATTATATATTAAATATATATTAAAATAATAAAAGACATAATTTTTGTATATTTTCCGGGTAATTGAAGCTTATTTAACTAAATACTTACTACTCACTCATCATCTTTGATTTATTTTGTCAAAGTTCTTTTAATTTTAATGAATAAGTTCGGAAAAATTAGTTAAATTTATGTAGAACAGTTTTGTTTTCTTGGTATAATAAACGAACAATAACTAAAACTCCAAGTTAAAGCTTCAAAAAATTCAATTAATGGGCCGAAACTAAAATTAAGTCTTGTCTAGGACCAGCCGGTGGCGGAATCCACCAATTGCCAAACCGTCATCGATATCTCTTTAGCTGCTCGGCCACTCCCATCCAACCTGTTACCGTTCAATTTTCACGACGTGCGATCTTAATTTGCAAATTATTACACTTTAGAATATTATCTAATTCTTTCTATTAATACGGTTAAGTGGAACGCCGGCTTTTACGTAATGCGAAAACGATCTTGTCCGCGATAAATGTTGAAATCCAACGTCCATTAAAAAGCGAGTTTGATGTGTCTGCGGCTCCGCCCAGTTCCTAGAACGAGGTTGCTTGATCGGAATAACGTTTTTCTTAGCGAAAACAAATGGGTGGCTTTCGAAGACGAAAAGTCGATCGACATCAAGGCCAAGTACTTGAGGATCAGGGGTCTGGCCGGCATGGCCTTGAAAGACGTGTCCCAAGACGATGACGCAGGCAATTGCGGCTCCTCCATCTTAGAAATCGCTCATGGCGGTAATAACAATCGAAATTTCCCGATATTTTAAAGTAAATTTGACAATCCTAACGTTTTCCAGGCTTATCCAGGCAATCCAGAGCTCCGCGGGGTGCCGTATTGCATTCCCTCGAACAGGAACTCCTGGAGAAACCTAGGAGAGTACGGGACTCGGTGCAACTATCTCCTTACCGGATTTCTAGGATCGTCGATACGGAAGGCAAAGTTCACGTCGTCAGACATGTAATTATCGAAAAAAAAAGTTACTGCGATGGCCGGGAATCGAACCCGGATCAACTGCTTGGAAGGCAACTATGCTGACCATTACACCACCATCGCACGTACTGTTTTACGCCGTTTCTACGAAGCCTTGGATTAAGCGAACTACTTTCTCTTTAATTATTCGTAGTTTGAGAACAAAATTTATCCGTAAAACGAGAATAACATACTTTCGCTGCAGTAGCGCGCCGATAATGTGACTTTTACGTAAAACCTAAAAAGTTGCGATGGTGGTGTAATGGTCAGCATAGTTGCCTTCCAAGCAGTTGATCCGGGTTCGATTCCCGGCCATCGCAATTAATTTTTTTGGAGCTCACGACGTCGTTAATTTTCCAGGACAGCAGGACCGAGTTCCAATGCTCGCGGCAAGGTTACTTCGTGCATCCGAGGTCGTGCAATCGTTTCTACAGATGCGTCAAGTTTAACCAGCTCGCTGACGAGTTTGACGTGTTCGAATTCGACTGCCCCGCGGGTACTACTGCCGATTAAAAGATTTTTGGGTGTCGTAATAGGTTTTTATTGCAGGACTAGCGTTCGACGAGAGGGTGGAGGTATGCGTATGGCCTGGAAGCTTACCCCATGGTACTCCTTGCTCCGGTAGTAGCGAGATCGCGCCCGTACCGAAGGAAAGATTCGCTTGTCCATCGGAACCCGGTAATGTTATCGTTAAGGTTTCAGGAAATGATTCTATCGATATATTGCGCAGGCTACTACGTTGACCCAGAGAACTGTCGTTGGTTCTTCGCCTGTTTGGACCACGGCAAGTCACCGCTATCCGCTTACGAGTTCAGATGTCCTTTCGGTTTGGCATTCGATGGGGAACGTCTCGCCTGCGACTGGCCCTGGCTGGTGCCGAAGTGTGCCAATGGTTACTCGACCAACTCGGAGTACTTCTATGGAGGTAGCCACACTCCTGATGCCATCCTTCAAAGCTACGACGGTCTGGGTGCCCTCGGCGCTGTGAAACTGGGCGGCATCTCGGGGAAAATTGAACGCCCCATAGCCACCGTCTACAGCAATGTGGGTGGTGGAGGAGGGACACTGGGGTTACAATACCAGAATAACGACGGTTACATAGTTGGTAACGGATTAGGTCACAATGCTGTACAATCTTTACAGCACGCTGGCTTACTTAGAGTCAACAACGGTTTAGCATTGAGTGCTGCGCATGCCTCGCATTCACAGGTACGCTGTTCGAAGTTTGTTTTACAGGATTTGACGGTTAGTCTCTTATACAGGACGGTTTTTACGATGGCGGACGTGGGAGTAGCACCCCGTACTCTTCCCAGGATGGTTACGATAGTAGAATAGGAAACGCGGGCTTGGGAACCCAGCGTCTGCATTTAGACTCTGGAAATTCTAATGGGGCTGTATTTGTCGACGGTTTTGCCCACCAGAGTGGAAATGATCTAAATACTGGCGTATTTGATAGTACAGCGATCAATAGCGGCGGTACTGGTGTAAATTCTAACTTAGGAGAGTTCGGGGGGGCTCAAAATCAATATGGTTTTAAATTGGTGAACGCTGGTCATTACAACGTAGGTGATGGTGCGTCATCGTCCCAGTACCATGGACAGGCATCTGGGTTGAATAACGCTGACTCTATCGACGTCAGAGCTCACACTTCCCAAGATACCCTGGGACTACAGCACGTATCGGTAACGCCATCTTATGTTATCCACCAACAGAGTACTCCAAGCATTGCATACAAAGATGCTTACACCGTTCAATCAGATGGCAGATATTCTGGTTTTGCGGATGGCAAATACTCGTCTAACGATATACGTTATTCTGGGAATACTAACAACGGGGTATCCTCCCAAACTGTCGTCCATTCTGCCGGCATTTCCAACCAACGTAAGATCAACGCTTTGCTCCTAACACGTCTACTAATTACATGCTTTCTGTAGATCCGGGTATCGATTTCGGTACTGTCTCTGGTAAATTGAACGGATATACACAGCGAGGACAGAATGAAGATTCAATAAGAGGAAACATCAACATCGTAGGTGGAGGTTATTCGGCTGTGGGTCCCGGTGTCCAACTAGGAGCTGTTACTTCTCCGGCCGGTTTTACCACGGCTTCTCCCATAAGTATTTCTACGATACCTACAGTACATTCGGTACCTTTGCCCGGCATCAAAACGGGTCTTCCTTTTGAAACTTACAAAGGTAAGTACCAAGCTGGTATTTAGTACGACAAATTAGCTAACCCGCTTGTAGGAGGTGTGGTTGCCAACATCCCAGAACTTCAGTACCGGATACACTCGAACGGAGACTTCGGCATTCGAAACGTGTCTGCCAACTTTTTCAACGTAGCTGTAACCACACCCACACCGTTTACTACATCTACATCGGCTGTTTCTCAGATTTACTCTCAGAACACGGGCGTGGTTGGACCTGTGACTACAGTCGGCAAATCCACCTTCAAACCACTAATTTTTAGCACTCCAAGACCGTTTGGTCAAGATGGTGTCGTATACTCAAAACCTTCACTTCCTTTTGTTGAAAGTACTTCCAAATCTACTGAAAATTTTGCCCAAGAGGGCTACATATACCCAAAACCTTCCTTGGCCTTTGGCGAGGACGTGGTCGTGTCTACTTTAAAACCCTTCGTGTCTAGTACGGTAAAAACTTTCCAGCTGGAGGGTTACGCGTATCCGAAACCTTCATTAGCTTATGGCGAAGGACCCACGTCCACACCTGCCACTGTTTCATACCATACACCTCAGCATAATTCGCAGTACCACGACGTGTCCACTGCTGGTCCCTCTATCGTAGCTGAGCGTAAACCAGAAGTTTTCGCATCGACGACTCCCATCCCGCGCGCACAAAACGAAGGCTACGTCTACGACAAGCCGGCAGTTCACTTCGAAACTGCTCAAAGAGCTCAACCAGTGATTATTTCGAGATTCACAATTCGCAAGGGAATACCGCTCGCTATCTATCCACAGGTCTCCACTCCATACCAGGAACCTCAACTCCAACAACCATTGGTCGAGGTCTACAAACAGCCGCAACTGCTGTCCACTTACACCTATCAGCCGGCGTATAAGAATAAAGCCCCCGCATCAACTTACACTTACCAGAACGTTGCTCAGTCTGCTGTCGGACTCTATCCCAAGCAACAATCTGTCGACCCTATTGTAAGCCAAGGAGTTTCCGTAAAACCCTACAGTTATGCCGCTCCCAAAGTGATCGTCCAACCAGAAACCTCAGGTTTCTTAAGTACAGGCCACAACAATGCTGACTACAATAAGGTTCAAAACAAACATTTTTCCAATTCTGGATATGTTCAGACGCATCCAGATAGCGCTGCATATGTAATTGCAGGCCAATCGAGCCTTGGTTATGTGAAAGGTGGTGCAGATGGCTCTGCTTACGTTCAGTCTGGACAAACGTCGGCAGGTTTTGTAAAATCTGGGCAAGAAAGTTCCGGTTATGTGCAGACCCACCCGGAGAGTCCTGGATATATACTTACTAGTCAGACGAGTCCTGGTTATGTACAATCTGGACAAACGTCTTCAGGTTTTCTAAAAGCTGGACAAGAAAGTTCTGGTTATATACACACTCATCCAGAGAGTCCTGGATACATAACCGCAGGCCAATCGAGCCCTGGTTATGTTAACGCTGGTGCAGAAGGTTCTGGCTACGTGCAGTCTGGGCAAACGTCCGCAAATCTTATAAAAGCTGGCCAAGGAAGTTCTAGTTATATACAGGTTCATCCAGAGAGTCCTGGATACATAATCACAGGCCAATCGAACCCTGGCTCTGTACAAGTTGGGCAAACGTCCTCAGATTTTGTAAAAGTTAGACAAGAAAGTTCTGGTTATGTACAGACTCATCCAGCGAATCCTGGATACGTAGTCGCTGACCAATCAAGACCTGGTTATGTAAAAACTGGTGTAGAAGGCACTGGCTACGTGCAGTCTGGGCAAATGTCTGCAGGTCTTATAAAAGCTGGACAAGAAAGTTCTGGTTACATACAGGCTCATCCAGAGAGTCCCGGATACATAATCGCAGGCCAATCGAACCCTGGCTCGGTACAAGTTGGACAAACGTCTGCGGATTTTGTAGAAGCTGGACAAAAAGAGTCGGGCTATTTGCAGACTCATCCAGAGAGTCCTGGATATGTAAGTCAGTCTGGACTAACGTCGGCAGGTCTTCAAGCAACTGGCCAAGATAGTTCTGGTTATCTACAGACGCATCCAAAGAGTGCCGGATATGTAATTGCAGGTCAATCCAGCCCCGGTTATGTTAAAGCTCATCAGGAAAGTTCTGGTTACATACAGGCTGGACAAGCTTCTACGGGTTCTGTGAACACTGAACATGAAAGTTCTGGTTATATACAGAGACATTCAGATAGGCCTGGATATGTCATTTCGAGTCAATCGAGTCCAGGTTATGTTAGGGGTGGCCAGGAAAGTTCCAGTCATGCGCATCAAGGGCAAGCTTCTGTTGATTTTGCAAACAATGGAATAGAGAATTCTAGATTTGTACAAATACAACCAGAGAGTGCTGGATATGTAATTGCGGGCCAATCAGGTCCTGATTTTGTGACTCTCGGTCAACAAAACTTAGGTTTTTCAAAGCAGGAATATCAAAATTCTGGTGACTATGCACACGCTAACCAAAAATCCCAAGTCACTGGTTATAGTTACCCACGACCTCAAGTCGCTTTCAGTGAGAACCCCCGGCCTGATACCTCGTGTCCAGATTGCTTCGAATCGAAGAGATTACAGCCCGTATCAATCGATGCTTATGAGTTTTCAACACCAAAGCCTCATCTAGTGGGATATTCTTACTCACTACCAAGTGGTAGCACTACTCCAAAAACTATAGAAGAAGGATATGTTTATCACAAGCCTTCTGTGGTTTTCGAGGAAAAGCCTGCCTTGGTCACTCCTAATTATAATCTGATCTTGTCGTCAACTCCCCAAACGCATGTTCTTGTATACCAACAACCTGATCACCAGTATATCCCCACTGCCAAGCCAGTATATAAGGAACCCGAAGGTTACGATTATCCCAAACCTAGCGTCCAGCTGGTGGACGAGAAACCTTTCATCAAAAAGACTGCCTACGTTACCGGTCATCAGCAACCTATTGTTGTGGAAAATTATCAGCACCCCAACTACGAGAGGGTTAAACAATATATTCTATCCCAACAGTCTAACATAAGACACGAACAACCTCAGGTGTATGTAAGCTCCACTCCGAAACCATCCTTCATTTCCACGATAAAGGCAATCGCCACCGAGAAGTTGGCTCCGGTCACCCCAGCGTCTGTTACGATTTACGATAGCAGGTTGACTTCCGCTCCAACTCTCGTAAATTCTAGGCCTACGATAGCCGCACCCGAATTGGAAGTGGTGAGTTCTACGAGTAGACCCGTCTCCAGGTTCTCGTTCAGTTCCCTCGATGATCAGTACCAGTACAACCAGTACAGGTCTGCTATAGAGTCGTCTACCGCTCTGCCTTCCGTATCGTATACTCCAGTGACTTTGAGTCGCGAGTATTTACCTGTTGAGGTGACCACACCTTCCAGAGAATACCTACCGGCAAGGCAAAACGTCAAGATAACTCCGTCCACCGTGGAGCCCGAAATCACCACCTTATCCAGGGATTACCTACCGCTGAGGACGAGAATCAAGATCGCGGCAACAGGTAGGGTTATTATTGATTTCCGTTCATCTTTTGGTATTAACCCCAACATTGTAGGTGTTCCGTTGGATCAGCCGGAGCTGATAAAGATTGTACCGAAGACTGTAATCAAACAAAACGACTACCATCCGCTGCTATCCGCCAAGCTGGGTGCTCAGTGTACTTGCGTCTCCAATTCTATCCGTTTGCGGAAGAAGCAAAAGATAATTGTGGTGGACGATGACGAAGTTGACGACTGGTATGTCGTGGACAACTCCAAGGAACCCGAGAGGCTGGTCGGGATAACCCCAGGGCCCAAATTTGACCACGTTACTAGAGGAGGTTACAGTGCCAATGATGTCACTCCCACCCCATCTGACGCTGAGGTGCTCAAAGCTGTGAAGACGGGGTTGCAACTGGTGAAGCAAGCTGCCAAAGAGGGTGCCAGAGAGGGAGCTAAACAGGCTCTGGATAGATACGGGTCAGGAGGAGTGAGGAGCAGGTCCGAGACCCTACAGGGCTCTGTCGATTGCCAGAGGGCTGGTTTATTCAGGCATCCGAGCGAGTGTAACAAGTTCTACGCCTGCAGGTGGGACTGTACGAAGAACAGGTTCACTCTGCACGTGTTCAACTGTCCCGTTCACTTGACGTTCGACAGTAACCTGGGGGCTTGCAATTGGCCCAGTCAAGGGCCCGCCTGTGTCGGCAATACCCTCATTACGAGCGACTGATTGTCATTGGGGTAAGGGTGGATTAACTTTTTTCACGAGAGGGCGGGCAATTAACAATTTCACCGGCAAAATAAATAAATAAAAGAACTTTTTTGACGGTAAATTTAAACCACTGTTATGTTTCTGTATTATTACTCAGAGTGTTCTAATTTTCGAGTAAAAACTAGTTTTTCTTTAGTAATTATTTATTTAAAAAAAAACATTATTTCCTGTCAAAATTAACCAAAATGTCGATTATTTTGTTGAATTTCATAAAAATTTGAGTTTTTCCAAATTTTGGGGATAAAGTCTTATCAATGAATTTTTCACGTAGTGCGGAATGTTCGTAGATTTTTTGTTAAACGATTAGCGTAGTATTTATTTATTTGCGTTCTTATCGAGGGTGTATATATCCGGAAACGCCCTGTATATACGTCAAGTAATTTTAGTATGTTTCTTTAAACGAGCGTTTTAGAATCTCTGCCATACAATCGAATTGAATAATTATTATTAGGTATGTATTTTTGTATATTTGTACTTTGTAATGCCTTTTGTATAAACGAACTTAAAATAGTCAATAAATATAGTGACGAACTGTTTGAGTTTGTTTTATTATCGTCTAAAAACTTAAAAAAAAGGACGAAAACGTAAGCTTCATCTAAGATAGTGATAGAATACTTTAACTAAAATTAAAGGTCGTAGATATTTTTGTTCGGTACAATCCTCATTTTTACAAACTTAATACAGTAAAATAGTTCTACAAATATACAAAAAAAAAATGCTCACATGTCTAAAATAAAAATTCTCTAAACTAAAACAACAAGAGATGTCAACATTTTGTACCCGAAACATTTGTTTTAAATGTTCCCTGGAACTTCGTAAGTGTACGGTTTTAACAATTAATTGCAACGTAGTAAATTTTTGTTCATATGAAATCCTGCACAAGTGTCATGCGTCACAAAAACTAGCAAATTCTCAATGTGAAGAAAACGTGCTACTGTTCAAGGTTATACCCCGAAATTTTACTGGATTTTGGATTTTATTAAGAATATAACCGACAGTACCCCGTCCACTAGGTAAGCTGCCCCATTAATCACGCAGAGGGCACCCACTGCCAGCCCCACCTGAAAAAAATTACGAAAATCAAAAATACTGTTTTTCTCAAACAAAATTTCAGGCCATGCTTGGCTGTCATGAAAGCCCAAAATATTTCAGAAAATTATGTTGAATTATATTTTATCTTTTTTAGAATACAAAGAACAAAAATGTTGAGTAATACAATATATTAATAAATAATATTAAGTTAAAGTGTTTCGCTGAAACTTTTTTTTGGTACATTCCCACAGCAAAATGTCAAAAATAAACAACCACATTTAGAAAATTGACATTTTGTTTTTGTTTAAACATATAAGAAATATTTCCTCAGTTAGATATAAAAAGTATGCATAATTTTTTTTTTTTAATTTTAATGCCGAAATGGAATTTCGGTTTTTTCAAAATTTTCAAGGTTCCGGTAAAAACATTTACAAAACTTGGAAACATATACGGAACCTGTTCAGAAGTTTGCGGTAATTTTTATAGTAAAGAATTTTGAAAATTGTCGGCGGGAGTTTTTAGGTCAAATCTAAACGCACTGCACATAGTGATACGTTTTTATTGCTCCCTCTCCGGGAATTATAACAGTATTAATTTTTGTTCACATTATCGATAAGGTGCGAAACATAGATAACGTTATCGGACAAATAACAAAAGCCAAGAAAATGTGCGTTTATTTTGGTGGAGTGAGTCAGTCGAATAAAATTTTCCGGATATATTTATTTCAAGAAAACGAGTAAAGTTGCCCAACCTTTCACGCAAACGGATAATATCTCCCCAAACTAGGGCTGAGGAGCTAATCGAAATTAGCAGATTGGAATATATAAATACTGGTAATAAAAACTGCTAGATGTCAGAGAGACCTAGTTCATATCTTAACCGAACAAAAGAAAAATAAATTTATTTACAGATATAGGCGGCCTCCTGGGGCAATTAAAAATTAACCACATTTTTTTTCATTATTGTAATTATAAGTTCTGGTTATTTGTACATTTTTAGCCCTTTGCGTAATACCAAGGGTAAAATGGACCTCTAAAAAATTCTAAAAAAAGCTATTCCATATCTATTGTTATAATTAATTTATTAATATGATGGATAATTATATAGACTTAGCCTGAGCTACAGCTTTCGAAAATCTATAACAATAACAATTTTTTTTCAATAGATTTTTGCGTAAATTTAGTTAAAGTTATTTTTTTAGTTAGTTAAATAAATCGACTTGATGGTTGAAAGCCACAAAAAATAATAAAAAAGCTTAAGTGCCCCGCCTTGTCCTATGTTTCAGGGAGAAAATTTATTTTTGACCATAACTTTAAATATTATATTGATTCAGAAAGAAGAAAAAAGAAAAAGTAAGGTGGGTTAATTATTACTTTTTAATTATTGTTATTTTAACGTAGTTATTTTTAGAGGTTTGTCTCGATAGCAGATTTTTACAGACCGATGTAGGTTTAATTTTGAATTGGAAATTGTAGATTTTGCAAATTTTCTGCTTAAAACTTTGTTTGGGATTCAATCCTGAGCTTTGGTGTGACTATTTTCTCCAAGTGTAAGGTTATGTATTTATTTTTCAATTCTTTTAAAAGTTATTTTATTGTACTGTTTTCTTTGATATCCTATGATAATGTGTTGGATTTGTGAATGATATTTTTTCGTATATTTTCTCACCTGCCTCTCCGAGTCGACGTAAGTATACTTGTGCTCGGCCAAGTACCCGTGCCAGTAGTGGAGGGCGGTGGCGCCTACAGCAATCCATAAAAACATCCCGATGAAGTTCATCAGGATGTCCGTGAACGTGCTGAAAGGTAGACCGCGTTTAGCGAGTTCAGGTCGGGCGATCTCACCTAACTTACTTTTTATGGTCTCCGGACGCGAAACACAGACTGATGAGCGAGACGGTCGTGTAGATGAAGTAACCCACCATCACTCCCGACGCTACAATTTCGGCGTCTGGGTTCTTCTCCTCGTTGAGGTTCCAGGTACCTCCCACGCCGAGAAATTGACCCCCATAACCCGTTCTGTACAGGATTAATATTATCAGGTTCAGTACCTAAAAAAATTAACAGGTGTCAAATAGTGCCCTTTAAACGAAAGTGCTATCAAAATTAGCTTGGAATACCATTTTCATCGATTAAATTAAAATTGAGGTTCCTTTTACACTAAATTTGTTATCTGATCGAGATCTGGGCCAGCTAAACACGAACACGGTAAATAAAACAACAATTTCGCACTGCTTCTGTGCGCTCTAGTTGGATTTGATGACATTCACGGCCTGCTCGGTTTACTGCAGCGCAAAAACAAAAGCGAAGCTGGTCCTTATCAAGGTTGACGCCCTATTCACCTATAACGCGTTCAATACGATCGAACCCTGCTCACCAGCTTTAGTAGCTTGATCACTATGGTCCCCACGGTCTCAATGCTAGTCATTTCGGCACGTATTCGCAAATTTCGTTGCTGCTTCTGCACTACAAAACCACCGAGATTTTGCGCGGAGCTACCTGTTCGATGGAAAACGACGTGAATATGAAAAATCTACTAGTTCCGCCGTTCTAGATAAGATAACAAGATTATCGGGGTATGAAGCAAGCCTTGGTTCCAGGTATAAAAAATGTGACGTATCCTTCAAACAAAAGCCCCGCGCTTTGTTGATAAGTCATCCTTGATCTGTTAGTAGACCAGCGCGTCGCTATTCGCCTTATTTTGAAGAAGTTATCGAGTTGTCGTGTCGTAATCTCCTTATCTATTTCGCTATTGCATTCGGACGAAAACGGTTTTGAAATAACCGCTTTGGGGGGCCCCGAAAACATATTAAATTAAGCCAAAAGTTCAACAAAACAAATTCAGGCCCGTACCATATTGCGACAAGCATAAATCCAATCGTCAACGAGAGCTTGAAGCCGATTCAAAATTGATACGGTTTGGGCTTAATACGGCTCTGTCCGACTAGCCGCCAGGCGATGGCCGTCGCGCGACGTCGTCAGCTGTTTTTGAACGTTAGGGTGCCGAATAAGTTGGGTTGGGTTAGATCCCTTTGGTCGTGTTTTGCTGCAAAGTTTACGAGAAACAAACCGAAATGTCGACTGATTACACGATATACAGGTCGCCGCTCAGCAGCAGATACGCCAGTCCCGAAATGCTGTACAACTTTAGCGACCAGAAGAAGTTCTCGTCGTGGAGAAAGCTTTGGGTTAACCTGGCCAAAGCGGAAAAGGTAAGCTCCAGTAATCAACTATAGGCTGATTACGCTTGTGTTCACGTTCGTTCTGTTAATTTGTTTCCCATGTGACAAGAATACGTTGGTTGACCGGCGAATGCGCCATTTATTTGAAACAACGCAAATTTTGTTATCGGAAGATTATTTATTTTTGTCGTTTATTTGCGGTAGATATATTTATTTAGAATACTTACTAACAAAATTTAGTGTTTCTCTAGAGCAAACTTCGTTAATGGGAAATAATCGGACCTGTTAAACGTAATAGTTGCAGTAATTTCGCTTTATCGGCGCATGCGCCATTTATTGAAAAACTATTAAAATTTCTCGGAGCTATAAATTATATGAAAAAGAGGTTTTCACGAAACTTATTTGCTTTAAAGATACTTGTAATTTACAGGATGTAGGCACAAAACTCAATTTTTCAAAATTCATTTATTATATTTTTTGACATCCCTACGTGACCTTCAATGCAACGTTATTTAACCACCAGGTACGACCAACGCCACTACTGAAAGATAACTCCGTTTTAATATCAGAATGAGCAATCCCAGAACCTTTACATAATTTATTCCAAAATTACAATGGCATCTCCGCTCCGCTCTCAGTACTGCCTGGAGGTGGTCGATTTTCTTGTAATCATCGACCTCCTCGCGTCCCAGTCTTCCATAAGGTCGATGTCGAAGTGAACTTGCGACCTCACCTTTGGCGGTGCGTGGGGATCTAAACCGATAAGTATATTACATCGTGAATTGTCCGCTTGAATGTGTCACTACCTCGCAAACACGTATGGGACTCTTTCCAAGGCGTATCATTATGCTGTGTGACCGAGGGGACCCCGTGCGCTCGCGCGATCGACATCCTAGGATTCAACGCCGCTGGCACCTGCCCCGACCACGGGTATGCTGCTGACATGCGTGGAATATTTTTCACGTTATGGTGGTACGCACGCGTTTCGGGCCTGTCTGCGCAGTATCTGTGGAGCCCTTTTGCTACGCTGTAGTCTGATATAAACGAGGCTTCATCAGGATGCGCGCGTTGCTGCGCGCGACTTTCAAACATCTGTTGCCCGTAACTTGGTGTCATAGACACCCTTTCCCGTGACACAGACATCGCCTGGTGGCGACTTGGAATCGTTGATATGCTTCCCGGTACCAAGTGTGGCGTCATAGAAAACCTTCCGTGACGCATAGCCATCTGCTGATGGTAGTTTGGAATCGTCGATATATTTGCAGGTGCCATGTTCATCCTTTGTTCCAAGTGTGGCGTCACAGTAAAGCCTCCATGTCTCATATTTATCTGCTGATGGTGGTTTGGATTCGTTGATATATTTTCCTGTGCCATGTTCATCCTTTGTTCCAAGTTTGACGTAATAGACATCCCATGTGACATTGCCTGATTGTGGTTTGGAATCGTTGACATGCTTCCAGGTAGTACAGGCGTTTTTTGTTCTATGTTCGCTGTCACAGAAATCCCTTCTTGTACCTTCCTTTGATCAGAGTTTTGCCATTGAGGGTCGTGTTCCATTTCTCTAGTTGTGGATATTTGGCGTTCTGGATATGGAGGGGTGTAATCGTCGGTCACATAGGTCTGGCTTTGCTCATTGTGCAACATCGAGATCCTAGAAACACATATGAGCAGCGTTATCCCAAAGACCATCAGGCCGTTTCAAGTTACTTAGGAATTCTGCTGGTTTTGATGCTGATTTTGTTGTGCGATTCACCGGGCGCCGCAGCATCCTCTATGCAGATTTCGTAGGTTTCCTCCAATGGCGAGCTAGATCATAGAATCTATACGGCCTGAACACAAATAGAGAGAGATAACCCGCTCACAGAGCAAGGGAGAAAATACGACTGTAAACATCTTTCGAATTGGTTACTAGTCTTTCGAAAGCGTTGATTCTATTGGGAAAGGGTTGGGATATAGTAATGACTTCACTGTACTTACGGACTTATTTCATGCTTGAATGCGCTGTCCGCGGCGCTATAAGTCGATGATATGTCCAGTTGTTCGCCCGTGATGCTATATAAAAAGAAAAATGATGCTGTGGGTCCTGCCGATATGTTCTGCTATGCTTACCTAGGAGGGTGTACTTTGGAGTCGCCGCTTATCATGATTTCTTTGGTTTCGCTGTCTACGTGGGCTGAAAGCAATGAAAAATGAGTATATAACGTTTTGAAACGAAGGAATAAGGAGAAATAGAATTCACTCGAGGTCACACTTTTTATTGAAAAACGCCACAACAACATCTTCAACAATTATCTTCTACACGGACGCTCAGTCTGTAATTTGAGATTCTTTTTCTTTTTGTTCAAATTGGAGGCGTATCGTCCGGTTGCGCTTTCACCTGCGCCAGTCCTATAAAACTCGTACCCAGTTCTTCCTTTGGGTGCCTCTTCTTCTATGATTATGGAATAGTGATCAGTTTCGCTACCCGAGACCTCAGCCGCTATCGCCCTCGAGCTTTGGGTCTTGCTGCAAGGGTTCCAAATCAACAATTGGATTTTATATTATTTACAAGACAACAAAGTTTTACCTTTTCTTCTTTTTTGTTGGTTGTTTAGTTTTCGTATCGTTTTTCTTTAATCGGTACCGAGTTTGTCTAGTATCGGCGGAAATGCCGTCTGAAAATGGAAAAGCCGATGTGAGAATATCGAAATTTTTTGGTCCAATTTCCTAGAAAGTGATGTTAGCACAGACGTATTTCATTCAACTTACCGCTTTAGGGAATATACCCAATGAAACCGATCCCACTACACCGTCACTTTCTAAGAATTTGGCCATTGAAAACGTCCACAGCGATTTTAATAAAACTTTCAAAACATGTCAGAGACTTATAAAAAAAAATTGGTTTATGATTCTTTTTTATGTTGGGAAACAAATAATACCGCGGATGAAAGATGATGAAGATGAAGGATGTTTTTTTTTCATTGACATTATAACCAAAGGTCCCAGTCATTGCCATGTCCAAAAACTCCTCTCCCCCACACTTGAATGTGTTTTACATTGAAAGCAGGAAATGCATCTGGTATATTTGTTTTTTTTCATCAACTAAACTAAAAATGTAATTAATAAGTAAAAACAAATTTAAAAAAAAATTAAACTTGGTTCTTTTTTCTACACTTTGATTCACTCCTACACATTTTCATGTTTCATGGCTTACTTTATGTCAGACCTTATCTTTTAGATTTAGGAATTTTAATTATATCAGAATATTCCATTAAAAGGAAAATATTTTTGCAATTGTGCTCAAGACTATAAAATTGTGATTTTGTAAACACCCTCCAAACTCAGAAGTGATTACGTTAGAAAGTACACGTACACGTAGTACAGTATACTGTCAAATTGCAGTCATAATTGGAAGTTTTAATTATTCAATTAATCCAGCAATAAGAACTTAAATTGGGCTTTGTTTCGTCCCAAAATGTAGAAAATAATATCTCTAAAACCGCCGAAGATATTTTACAAAAATGTTCAGAACGTGGGGGAAAAATGGAAAAATATACAGGTGTCCATTTACAAAATGAAAGTTGTCCCTGATTTCCGATACAAGCGGCAACACTGCGACACTGACAATGTTTTATATCGATAGAGGAGAGTCAAAAACCTATGTGACCAAATTTTTAGCAAATTGATGTCCCTTGTTTTTGCAAAATGTCTAATCTATTGCTGATTTAGGAACAGTGCAAGTCGACTTTTATGCAATATTTGAATTTAAAAATGTCTTTTTTCTTTTTTGTTATAAAATATACAAAACTAAAAATTTGCTTGTTCTCCCTATCATTTTCACTAGCGCTAGTTAATTTATATTTTTTCGTATTTCGTAAAGACTTTCGGCACATTTTTTTACTTACGAATTGAAGCAACCCCCGTCGCCTGGCATATGGCGTGGCATTTTTTTATGATGTCGTCCACGTTCCAACCCGTACCGCCATCTCGTTGGCCCTTAAAAAACTACCTAGAAAAATATCCCCGAAAATGTGCTTTCGTATACCTGACCGCGCCAGTCGTCGGCGTCTTCCGCGTAATAATCGTACTGCTCCACGTCATCTTCGTAAATCATACAGTCCTGAGCTGCCGCGCAGTTCATATCTGCACACCTGCACTCTAGCGTTGTGAACGGGCAGACTTCGTCTTCGTCGAACACGACGCAGTGCCTGCTGGTATTGCAACTCCGATCCATACATCTGGGACATTTTCGACTTCCATTTGCGCCCGTAAAATAATTATTGTACCTCCTACCTGCACTCGACTTCCGTATAAGGACACAGATCCTCGTAGTCGTCTTGCGTTTGAGTCTGCATGCTGGCGTAGGGACAGTCGGCGTACTCGAACCCACAAATTTTCTCCGTCGAGCGACACAATTGACAGGTCACTAGCAAAGGTTGCTCTCGCAAGCTACAGCCGTAACTGGATGGTGTACTTACCCTGATGGCAGAGGGTGTTGGTGTCCAAGCAAGCCGGGCAATCTGAAACACCCCTGATAGATCACCGGTACAATTTAAGAATGGGGTTACCTCCCACTCCCGTATCTGTTACAGTCTGAAGTGCGAAGCTCTTCTTCCGATACATGCTGTCCTCTGCAAGCAAGTAGCGGGTTAATTCGGATATTAAGGCGACGTATTCATACCTTCGTCCAGTCCATTTCTTCTCGCGTATGTCCGGAAACCTGAAATCCAGTATTTGCCCCATGAGTCAATTGATTTAAGCGAAAACGTAATCGTACCGGGCTGCGCTGGATTCGTTCTCTGCTGCCCAGCCTTAACCATGCTAGGTGCCGTCGAACTGCGCTTACCACCGGTCATTTTTATATTCTCGACGTCTGAAACACACTTATTTCTCAAACAGCCAACCTCGTCGAACGCAGATAGTAAAGTCTGTTCATAGATATAAGAAAGTGACTAACTGATACGAATTAAGGAAAGACCCGGGCAAGCTGTAAGAATGAAATATGGCCGAACAGGTCCGTACTTTGCTTAGAATTTAATTATTTGGGGTTTTGTTAGGAAAGATACTAAACAATATTTATTTATGTATGTATTTATGTTTATATCTGAAATAAAATTACAAATTATTTTTATTACCTACTTAAATTACTTAAAATTATTCACATAATATCACTATCGCTATCATCGCCTGTTCTAATTATTATTTGTTCTATATTATTTGCAATTGTTCTGCTTTTTCTATATGTTTAACAGAATTTGCCCAACTTTGTGGAGGAATGTTAAAAACTTCGGTTTCTATAAGTTTGAGGACATTGGAGTTAACACGGGGAAAAATATTGTTACGACGAATGGCAGATTTCAGTTGGTGCCAAACATGTTCAATGGGATTAAATATACAGTGGTAAGGTGGAAGCCTTAAAACTGCATGCCCAAGATTTTTTGCATAATTATCGCAGACGTATTCCTTTTGTAGGTTCAAGCTTTGTAGAACCTCAATTAATTGCTTTTTGGTATAATCTTCGTTAAAATAAATTGTTGCTTTTGTGTCACATGAGGAAGGGGTTTTAGTCAACTGTCTACTGTGATAATTTGCATTGTCCATTACTGACGCTATTAGGAGGAATGTTTGGAACTAGTTCGTTTTTAAACCAACTTTCAAATAAATCAGCGGTGGTGTCTTCATTGTAATCCAGAGAAGAATCTTTAATATTTTTCGCAGATAGAGAAAGTCCATTTGGAATCCAACCATCTTTGGAGCCAGCATGCAAAATAGTTATTCTTTTACCTCTTTTTGATGGCGCGTTTGTTTTACACTTATCAGTTGAGTCAACTCAACCCTTTTCCGGGGTATCATAAGTGTCGAACCAGGTTTCATCAAAGTAAATAATTGGCTTTTGTTGTTGAATTCTAAAAGATTCCATTAAAACTTGCCTTTTGTCAATTTTTTTAAATCAAAACCCATGTGTTAAATACACTTCCATAAGGTAGTTCTGCCACATTTATCACCGGTTTCATCTTTTTCAAGCCTCTTAATTAAGATATCTAATGTAGGCACGCTTTGTTCCTCGTATAACTGGTAAATTTTCACAATTTTCTATACAGTTGATGTTGAAATTTTCGTCAATGTGGCCTTTTCTTCTAAAGATGCTTGCTTGCTGGCACCACGTTCAATGAGAGTCAAATAAATATTGTTTATAACTAAGAATAGTGTTTTCTACATTTGGGCGGGAGCATCTCCTGAGATACACTAGACTCGCACATATTTTGCAAAATTCGCACACGATTCAGTACACGCTGTATTACACATGAAATAAGAATGATTACTAATAAAATTATATTAAGTAGTATACCAAACCAACGAATATTAAACACAGGTAGATATAAAATTATTTTCTATTACGGACCACGATTTTACCTGAATTTAAATTCCGAAACTTTAGGTAATACCATTGCATTGTATGTTAATGACCACCCTTGGATAATCCCATTCAAAAGCAATTGGTCACTTTCTTATATCTATGAACAGACCATACCCGGTAAGATTCCAGCGACGCACTGCCACTGTTGATAGTGGGTCCTGCCGCAGATGCTGCACAGACTTTGGAAATATTGCCGGTAAACGCAAGGTGGCGGCGTTGCCCTGCAAGGCAGGCTCGGGTAGTGCTCTAATAGAAGCGGCCGCTTACCTGGTCAGTGCGCCGCGTCGGCCATTGAAGCGTTGCTCCTCGTACGGCTTTTGCGGAATCTGTTGGCAATTGAAGCACTCGCTTTTTTGAGTTTGATAATTTTTGGACACTCCACGAATGTGGTCGTACTCACCAGTTAACGGGATGATCCATTCGAAGGAAACCTACGAGATATAACATGGGAACTTTACGAGGAATTTTGAATTTGATTGAAAGCGCCTGTCAAAAATTGACTCGTCGATTGTTGGCGCGACGACAAACAGCGAAACATCAGTCTAAAGCTATTTATTTGAAAAATAAATACATGTTTGTATTCGTTCATAAGTAGAACCGATCTTCGGACTGCAACAGAACAAACTTGATAATCTGGAATGTAACTCGCGCGTTCCGTTGGTACCTTGCTCAAAACGAAGGTGGCTTCGCTCGGATCAGTACGTCCCTCCCGTACGTAGCTCAGTGCTGAACTGGGTCGTACTACGGTAGACACGTTCCTAACCATCACTGAAAGCAACACGTTTTACGATCTAATTATCATCGATATACCCAATTAACTTTGAGGCGATTGGTACTCTTTGGTTACTTGCGATCTGGAGGGTGGTGGCTTAATCCTTTTAGACGGAGCGGTGGTGATTTTCGTCGTGACGCTGACGTTTCTTTTAGGCGAGTCTTTCTTCTAGATATTACACTGCACGATTGTTATTAAGACCATTACGCACTTACTTTGTTCGTGCAGGTATCCTCGCATTTATCTCCGCACAAGCATCTGGATCCTGGACGATCGCATTTGCAGCTTTCTGGTCGACCTCGATCGCACCATATGGCACCTAAATGGGAACAGGGTTACTATTAATACGTAGGATTTCGTCCCACCAACCTGCTGATTCATCCCCGGACCTTCCTAACTGATTTCGCCATGATCAAAAGCAAAACAAACACAATTGTCTTAAAACGTTATTATTGACATAAAATCTCGAATACATCTACAATGTCTTAATTATCGGTTACCTCTGGCCATCACTGACTTTCTTTCATCGAGCCCTTTGGTTCTTCTAGGGGTACTCCTGCCAGATTTCCCAAAAACATTGTCCTCGCAGTACTGCCTCTTGAGAAAAGGCATGTCTCCCGGAATGCCTGTCATTCTTGGCTTGATGCCTAACATTTCATCGTGAACCATTCCAGGCGAGTCAAATTTCCTAGGAACCTCGAACGGGTGAGCTTCGTAAGACGCAGCCGTCGCCACTGACTTCCTCGCCATCATCGATTTCCTTCCTTCGTCGTAAAGTATCGCCGAGCCGATCGATTTTCTGGTCCCCTCAATTATAGATTTCCTAGGCGCCTCTATGGCGGAGGCCGCAACTGATCTTCTCGGCATAGCGAGCGACTTTCTAGATGGGTCGTCGTGCGATATCACTATAGATTTCCTCGGGACGCCTTCTTCATCGGTCACGATGAGGGTCTTTCTGGCGATGCCGCTTCCGTACTCTTCTCTCGCCGGGATTTTGGGCATGTCGACTTGGGTACTGCAGGTGCAACAGGTTTCTTGACCTTCGAAGTAGGCGTTACTAGTGGTAGAAGCGACCAGACGTAGCGCTTACCTATTTCAAAAGCGGTACCGCATTCGCAGCACTCGCAAATCTCCGGCTCCGGAGGCGGCAGGTCGCATATGCATCGCTCCCCTAAAATTACATGTTTTTTTACAGGTTTGCCATGTCCCACATATCAAGTTTACCTCCGTTTTCGCCGCAAAAGCACAACGGTCTGTCCTCGTCTGAAAAATAAAAAATATATGATCGTTCGCTTACTTACTCCACGTGGTTGGTTACCTTCGGGAACTTTCTCGCCTGCAATCCAAAAATGTCGTTAGTTTTATAATACGTTTATGGAATATTTCTAAATTTACCGTAAGTGCAAGTGCAGGCTTCGGTCATTTGGTTGTGGTATACGAGTATCCAATACGGGTGCGGATATCGCTTCATTCTCATCATCAACAGGCACAGGTCTATCAGAAAAACTATAGCGGTCACTCCACCTAATATGATACCGAACAGGATCGGCAATGGAAAGCCGATAAACAACAAAACCCCCACGTATAAAGAGAACAACAAGCAACCGGCCGTACAAACCATCAACCAGCTCTGGTACGCAATGGGTCTACAATGAACTTTACTTGAACTGTTATCCCCTCGTTTTGAGCAGAATACCTTAAATTGGTCCAAGACACTAAGTCGATCAAAGTTGCACTTAAAAATACGCTAGAAATTACAATGGTCTGCAGATGAGTACCGTCGATCAACGCAGCTACCAAACACAGAAGACAGAGTACCTACAACGATTTACCCCTTATATCGGAATTTATCCCAAAAGGAAATCGCCTTACGCATTCTACTGACGTCAGGCAAGATTCCGCGCAAATCCTTCTCCAAAACTTTCGCCTTTTCCTGATTCCGTCCTCCTTTTTCCTTCTGTACTCTTCGGTGTTTTGTATCGCTATCGTTTTAGTCGTCCTCTTCATCTTCCAACTATTTTATTCTTACCTAAGATGTCAGTTTCGCATGATTCGTCAACGTCAAGGCAACAATTAAAACCCCATCCACCATCATTCACTGATTCCACCCTTCCATGTCTCAGGAATTGGGATTGGATATCGACGACCCTCAAATACGTCAGATGGAATCTCACGTGGACGATATAAACTTCAAGGAAGCCGCCGAGGAAGAGAAACTGACGAGACACGACGTCATGGCGCACGTGCATGTCTTCGCCAAGCAGTGCCCTCTGGCGGCCCCTATCATTCATCTGGGTGCGACTTCGTGCTTCGTGGGCGACAACACGGACCTCATTATTTTGAGAGACGGATTGGAAATTTTGTCGTGGCGCGTTGCCGCGGTCATCGATAATTTGGCCAAGTTTGCTGAACGGTACAAGAGTTTGCCGGCCTTGGGTTTCACCCATCTTCAGCCCGCTCAGCTGACGACCGTCGGCAAGAGAGCGACGCTGTGGCTATACGATTTTCTATTGGACGAGAGAGCGATACGTAGAGCGAGGCAGGATATCAGATTTAGGGGAGCCAAAGGCACTACCGGAACTCAGGCGTCCTTCTTGCAGCTTTTCAACGGAGACGGTGCCAAAGTCAGGGTTTTGGATAAGAGAGTTGCGGAGCTGTCAGGCTTTAGCAAGACTTACCCGGTGACGGGTCAGACTTATTCGAGGAAAGTCGACTTGGAAATAATATCCGTGCTGTCATCGTTAGGTAAGAGTATAGCTTGCCCTTGGACGTCGAGTTAACTGATCTCCGTAGGGTCTTCCATTCACAAAATGTGCTCGGATCTCAGGCTTCTGGCCAATATGAAAGAGATCGAGGAGCCGTTCGAGAAGAGCCAAATCGGCAGCTCGGCAATGCCGTACAAAAGAAACCCAATGAGGTCGGAGAGATGTTGCGCTCTGGCGAGACACATGATCGCGTTATTTTCCAACGCTGCCAACACGCACAGCGTCCAATGGTAAGTTTTTGGTGAAACTTATATGCATTTGGATTGATGTCGTTCCTAGGTTGGAGCGGACGCTGGATGATTCGGCAAACAGACGCATAACCCTCGCCGAGGCATTCTTGAGCGCGGATGCCGCCCTGCTGACCCTCACCAACATCACTCAAGGCTTGGTGGTCTACCCCAAAGTGATCGAGAGACGCATTCAGCAGGAGCTGCCGTTTATGTCAACAGAGAATATTATCATGGCGATGGTGAAGAAAGGTGGAGATAGACAGGTGTGTCACGAGAAGATCCGCGTCCTTTCTCAAGAGGCCGGGAATAGGGTCAAGATGGAGGGAAAAGATAACGACTTCCTCGAGCGTGTGAAAGCGGAACCGTATTTCGCTCCAATCGTTGGCGATCTGGAGTCGCTGTTGGAGCCCTCGACCTATATAGGCCGAGCTTCGGATCAAGTCCGTGAGTTTTTGGAGGACGAAGTTGCGCCAGTGCTCGCTTTGTACAAGGATAAGCTGGAGGTGATCAACAAGCCGGTTACGTTGAATATTTGATCTTTGTTATAGAGTCTAATATATTTTAATGAGAAATTTAAAATTGTATTAGTTTCCTTCTCTTGCAATAGTGTGTTACCATTGTCAATGATGCCAACATTGGTGCAAAACGGACTCTCACAACCTCTATTCGGGCTCACTGGGACACTAATTTACTTTTTATTATTTAGACAGCGCTTCTTGAAAGGCGACAAAAAAGAAAAATGATCAAGTTTGTGCTATGCGGAAACAGTTATGTTACCAAACTACATTTGTGAAGTTCATCAAAGTTTGAATTTTCTCTGTCTACTTATGAGTTTTACACGTTACAGGCTTATTTTGATGATTCATTGATTTAGTTATAAGGGGTGTTTTTTTCGATGTATAGAAATTTAAGTTGCAATAAAACAACGATGGATTATTCGATTGACATGAATTTTATTTATCCGAAAGATAATCTTGTGGCATTACATTTTAAATATGATTTCTGGCATATGACCGCCACGGCTGGGGCGGATGTAGTCCCATCTGGACGTCCAATTTTCGATGACTTTTTCCAACATTTGTGGCCGTATATCGGCAATAACAAGGCGAATGTTGTCCTCCAAAGGTCAAGCGTTTGTGGCTTATCCGCATAGACCAATGACTTTACATAGCCCCCCAGAAAGTAGTCTAGCGGTGTTAAATCACAAGATCTTGGAGGCCAATTCACAGGTCCAAAACGTGAAATTAGGCGGTCACCAAACGTGTCTTTCAATAAATCGATTGTGGCACGAGCTGTGTGACATCTTGCGCCGTCTTGTTGAAACCACATCTCCCGGACATCATGGTTATTCAATTCAGGAATGAAAAAGTTAGTAATCATTGCTCTACACCCATCACCATTGACTGTAACGTTCTGGCCATCATCGTTTTTGAAGAAGTACGGACCAATGATTCCAGCAGCCCATAAAGCGCACCAAACAGTCAGTTTTTCTGGATGTAACGGCCTTTCGACATACACTTGAGGATTAGCTTCGCTCCAAATGCGGCAGTTTTGTTTGTTGACGTAGCCGTTCAACCAGAAGTGCGCTTCATCGCTAAACAAAATTCGCTTATGAAAATCGGGAACAGCGGCAATCTCGTTTTGGGCCCATTCGACGAATCTACGTCTTACTTGATGATCGTTTTGCTTCAATTCTTGCACGAGTTGGATTTTGTAAGCACGTAAACCAAGATCCTTCCGCAAAATCTTCCATAAAGTGGATGGACACAGATCCAATTCCTGTGCTCGATGGCGGGTGGACTCATTCGGGTCTTCCTCAATGCTCTCTACAACAGTAATAGCTTCTTCTGTACGCACTGTACGGCGTCTCTGGGGATTCGAGTTATCAATAAGAGTAAACGTGGTGCGAAAACGTTCCATGGTTAATCGAATTAACTGCTCGGATGGACGATTTTGTCGTCGATAAAATGGACGTAGTGCACGATACGTATTCCGCACAGAACCATTATTTTCGAAATAAAATTGCACTATTTGCAAGTGTTGTTCAGGCGTGGGTCTATTCATGATGAATATCACTTGACAGCTGTTGAATCGGTCGCCATCTTGGACAGTAATGCCAACTTAAAGTTCAACACATCGAAAAAAAACACCCATTATTTATTTACCAATGGAAACAACACTCCCGACCTGTATTATTTATTTTCATCTCTCTTTTGTATATAATTTACTATAAACTTTTCTTCTGGTTACTGAAGTATCCGTTGGTACATGGCCTACACTATTTTGATTTTCTTTGACACCTGTAATACTGCAAATATAGCGAGCATATGGAAGTAGCCTTATTAATTTTTTTTATTTCTCCGTTCTAGCTTTTATTCATCCTAATTAATATTAAATAGTCCCTTGCGAAAGTTCCGATAATTTTGCAATATATTTCTTTCAGAGAACAACTTATTTTTTAGACATCATAATTCAATAAAAAGTAAGAAGGTTTACAAGTAGTGCTTTGCTTTTGCTAAATCAAAGGAAAGTCCTATCATATCAAACTCCACAAAACCACAACTCTAGTCGTTCATTCTCCCGAGCCTCATCCTCTTGGCACCAATTTCCCGGTGTTCATCGCCCTGCATTGCGGTCCCGTCCTCCAAATAAGCAGCCCTCCTCAAATTTCTCGGTGAGCTGGCGCCGCTATTTCCGCTCACCTCCCTTTCAAACAGGGTGTAAGTTCGGGGCGAACCTTTTGGTGATGTATCTCTGAGGTCGTTCGTAAACGGCACCGTATATCTGTTGACGGCAAAAGTACCGCTGTACGTGATGGGAGTAGGTTGGGGTTGTTTCTTTGGCGGACTAGCCGAGGCGCACGTCCACATGGACTTCTTGCGTTTTTGTTGGTCGTACGCGAAAGGTGCCGAGGTACCTTTATTCCTCTGTTCGATGTCCACCTGGACGAGTTTGGTTTTTGTAGAGTAATCCACTGAAGTACTAGCTTCGACGGTTTCTTCCGGGAGGAAAGGCGGCAGGTCTTTCCCTACGGGGAACGTACCACCATAGCTGATCGGTATCGCTGTGAGTGGTGATCGTTTTGGTCTCGGTAGTGGAGGATTGGCTGAAACCAATTGCAGTACTGGTCGTGCCCAGAGACACAAAATGAGGCGACTGGTGAAGGCTTACCTACGAAGGCGGTAATGGCGACATCTTTGACGGATGTAACGCGAGTGGTCTGTCTTAGAAGCGAAGTCATCCTGCGAAAACGGCGTTTCTTCTTAGAGTGTAATTATGAACTTACATAGAATCACCCAGTACATTCGAAATTTAAATTTAAATCAAATCAAAATTATTACTTTTTCTTAATAATACAGGCCAATATTTTTGGAACTTTTGAAATTTCCATTTGACATTTGGTTCTATATAGTTTATTCTTCCTAAATTTTAATCTGGTATTTTTTTTTAGGACCACAACAAAAATCTAATTAAAAAAACTAAATTAAATAACAAAGTTTCAAACAATAGTTAAGTCTATTTAGATATCTCCGTCTTGACCGAAAAATTTCGTTTAGTTAGATTTTGTTGTATATCCTAGGGCCGGATTGTCTGTTTTTAATGACCATCTGCCGTCATTGCAACGTCCCATCGAGCTTGATATCTGCCTTCCAAATTTTACGCATAGGTATTTAAAACCTGCTCCATGTTTATTTAACGTTTTAACTTACTGTTTCATCAGTCCTAATTTACTATGCAACGGTGGAAAGATATTTTTTCCTGGATCAATAAGACTATCGTGAAGAATATTTTTTGATCCTCACATTCAATTAACCCATTCGGGCCAGATTTTTTCACCCAATGTGGCTGTCTGTTTTTACTCACTGACACAAAAACAGCGCTACTTCGTACATCCTGACTGCTGACCTAGTAGAAGTTCCAGAATATTTAATTTTCTCAATCATTCTTCCATTTGTACCAACAGGCACAGAAGCAAGAATATTTGCGTTTGAAAAAGAGCAGCTTTAAGGCTTCTCTGGGATGAATCAATAAAAAGCCTCCAGTCCTTACAATTGTAGTCTGTACCAGGTGCAATAAACAAGTGAACTACTTCATTCAAAATAGTATCAATTCGATCTCGCGCTTCCTGATATATGAGATTTTAACGTCATGTGCCAGTAAGTTTTTAATTCGAAGTCTGGGTGCTAAAATTTAGGAAATATACTTCAGTAAACCCAAGGCTTTCACTAAGTTGTAAAGTTCTAATTGTGAAAATAACTGTGGTTGTTGAGAAACGCTCCATACATCACCAACGTTATTTAGGGTACCTTCATCTATTTCAGATTCAGAAAAACTGTTGGTATCTTCTTCTAAATTGGTTGGTTTCTCAGGTAGTGAGACATCTAGGCCATGTGGCACCGAAATAATTGCAGACTTCAAGTTCGGATAAACAATGTATTTCAAATTTTAGCCTGGTTCCATTATTCCAATGGTTTAAACCTTCTTCACATACCTTACAAACTGTTATCGGCAAAATACTATATTATTATATATAGCTTGCGAGAAGCGTCACTTTACCTCGTCAGTTTCGTTTCCCACGAATCCGAGCCACTTCGGACATTTCCGGGATTTTACCGCATGGGTTTGGAAGCGATCGGATATTTTCGGAGATATTTCCCACGCTTTGAATTTTGACCTTTGTCAATTCTGACAGTCATGTTAATGAATGTATTCGTGTTTTGCGAAAATGTACGCAAACACAAACGGTCGTAGAAAAAGTATATTAAACTTTTACCGTTTACCGTTCTAGTTGCATAATATACTATTCCCAATCCAAGTTTAATGCTAAATCCACCAATTTAAATGGTCAGTTATATTTTGCCTTGAAATTTCTGGAATACTGAACTGTCTTTTGCTAAAGAATTGCACAGTCTACTTCTGATAATGTCGACAGAAACACTCATATCTCTAGATTGCCTTTGAAGCTCTGGGTAAGAGGTGGCATTTTTTTTTTGCTATTTGATCCGCAAAGTGATCCTGTATTTCCTTAGTTACCCCTTTAAGGCTGCTCCTTGATATTTTAGTTAGGGCTCCCAATTCCAGAAATCTTAAGTCTGTTTTTGTAACAACCCTGTGTTTAAACTCATCGTTCTTGCAATCTGCCTTTGTGGCAGTGCCTCCGGACTTGGGACAACCCCACGTTTTTTAGCGCAGAAATATCAAACAGTAAAATTGACAAGGAGTTATTTTGTTTAACTAACTATTTTGTTTAACTAACTGTTCTTGTTAGTAAGTACTTGTACTTTTTTATCGCAATACTAAGATGTTCTACTAGAAAAACTATACAATTACTTACAAAATTTTGCACATCAGCTCCGTTAAAAATATGGCCGCCGCGAATCCCTGCAATATGGTCAGCGCAGTTGCTACCGGATGGGAGATTCCGGCGAGCGACATCGTGACTGCGCACGCGCAATAAGTCAAAGCGAACGCGCCGTCTATGACTACCTGGATTTCGCTTGGAACGAACCTGGAAAGCCGATCGGCGCTTGCGGATAACTTTTAAGGCCTGTTCAGGGTACGAGCGATGTGCGTCGCGTCGCGTTGTCGGTAAAATAACCTAGCTTTACCCAATGAAAGAGTGGGAGGGACATAAACAAACGGATTTGTTTTCTGGCGCAACGCAATAGCGTACATTACTTCAGTAATAGCCAATTTGAGTTCACCAGAGGACGTAGCAGAGATTTTAATTATAGAAGTCTAGTCAAATTTTTGGTCATATTTCCACATGACGTTTTTCCTAAAACATCTGATGACCCCAGTCACCAAATATAGAAATATATCTTCATGGCAACAGGAGTATACAATCAATTTTGATTTCCGATCCCAGTATTATATGAATCATCACCATCACATCCTGTAACAAGACCATCATCTGCGTCTTCTTTCACAACCACCCGCGGCAACATGAAAAGGCTCTAGCTACAGATTATAGGTTCGTAATAAAAATATATAGCAAATTATTCTAGACGAAATGGCGCGAAATGAAACTTGGAGAACGTCTATCAGTCTGTCGCCCAAAGTAATACTTTGTGACCTAAAGCACCGAAAAACTTGGAAAACCAATCTGTTGCCCATAAGAACACTTTAATCTCACTACAACATCAACAGGGTACAACATTACCGTTATCATTGTGTTATAATTATTAATACTAAAGTAATAACTGATAACTAATATCTTCTATTCGTTTTCAAGAATTCAATATGTTGTTTTTTTTTTAAATAATATTTTTCTTTTACCTTATAGTAATAACAAGTAGTTACAAAATTTGTCACTGTTTTCTCGAAGCGTGGGCAAACCTTTTCCAATAAATAATCGCATGTTTTAGGAATCATTCTAAGGCAGTTCCTGGATCGGTCCGGATACGTTCTCAATTTATAATATAAGTGGTGGAGTTCACCAAACAAACTTTCTCTCTCTATTTATTGGATGAATTCCAACTTTTTTGTTTAATCGCTTTATATGGAGTGTCCTCTAATAAAAACAAAGGAATTGCTCTCATCGGCGCCACTTTGGAAACTAAAAATTAATTTCAACTTGTAAATATCGAATTCTCACCGCTTCATAGACGTGGTGTACAACGCTCATAGTCTGAAATACCAATCGCATTGCTAACGCGACGCGACGTATGTCGCTTCTACTCTGAACAGTCCTTTACTCGATCTAAACTTACCTTCCGAAGTAAAAGCAAAAGACGGCGCCGAGGTTAAACAAAACCGTCGCCGCGTTTAGCGCGAGCGCGAATATTACGTTAGAGTTCAGAAGTGGGATCAGGTAGATCGCCGCCGACGCGCATAGTAAGCAGCCGGTGCAAAACGCCTGGAAATACGGTGGACGTGGAGCGGCGGCGAAACGATTCGAGATTTTTTACCAGCTGGATCCATTTTAGAAAGGTGAGGCGCCGCCTTACGGTGTTTTGTATAAACCGTCTTTTTAGCGTAGGGTTGTGGTACTGCAATGATACTACTTTATTCCGGAACATCTACGGCAATGGGACCATATCGTTTGCGTGCGTGAGACATCGTTATACGTCCCTTACGTCAAGCTGACAACGATAGGCAAAGTGACTTTTTAATATTTGCCTGGACGTTTCAATTATCAACCCTTGTGCGGGGAAGAGAGACGCGATAGACATTTCGATATTGGAAAATCGTACGCGGTAGCATAACCGAATTTCTGCGTAGTGGACTCGACCTAAACTGGAATGGCAACTGCGTGATAGAAAAGCCAGGCAAAATTTACAATAGAAACAGAAGGTTGGTAATTGGAGTTGTAACCTTTTCTCCTACTCCTTTAAACAGGGTGTGCGGAAATCAAGTTCTGAAACTTGGAGGACAGATTCGAAATCGTACTATTTTCTGAGAATAAGCTGACATTTTACACACAGAATTGATTCGTTACAAAATAAATCTGTGACTAGAAGGCACTTTACCTAGAATATTTTTTTATTTTCCCAGTATTTTATTTATTTAGAATGACATTGCAAAATAGAACAAATTGTCTTAAGCAGAATCACAAATCCTCAAGAGTTACCCCGCCCTTCTAATTTACAGAAAAGTGATACTAGATATGTCGGCATGCATTTCTGTTACGGCCAAGGAAGTGGAAATGCAGGCCAGTATTCTTAACCTGCAGGCGACGTGCATTAAATTTTTCAAAACAACATGCAACGAATGAAAAAAGTGAAAAAATGGCAATAACATGGTTGCATTTAGTAACATAAATACATTTAATATTTTCGAAAATTAAATATTATTAATAATAATCGGTAATTAAACAGTATACAACGCTAATTACAATTCATTTTCAAAATGCCCACCGATCATTTCTAAACATTTTCTTATACATTTTAAAAAATGCTGTCCATCGGATTAAGGTCTGGTTAGCGACACGGCCAAGCTAAAAGTGCGGCGCTGATGTTTTGCCTTCAATTTTTGCATGTGGGTTTTCGATGTTCGACTGATGCATATTTCGAAAATTTAGAATGCAGCCTCGTCAGTGAACAAAATGACGTTTATGAATTGCGGATAATTTTGAATTTTTCCTAAAATTATTCTCAATTGGTCATCACCATCATACAGTGAACCCTTTAAGCAAGGAAGTATCGAAGACCAGTTTCGTGCAAATCTTCCCAGCCTCCACATTTTGAAGTATTGTTTCTTCTCTTGTAGCGATTCTTAATTTATACCTTGGTCTCCCTTTATTCATATTATCAGGTTCAAATGATCGTCTTTCACCAAGTCTTCAGTGTATGTTGACGAATGTCTTAGCAGATAGAACGTTTCTATTGGGATAAACCTCGATTTAAAGCCGAGGTGCATATAAACGCATATTGCGGTATTCAGTATTTGGATATTCCCGACGGGCCATTACACTAGCAGTTGGACAATAAGCTATTTTAATAGAAACTAATTTTTAACGGATTGTGACATTGATTTTTTCAAAGTCGATTTGTGGCTAAATGATAACACTTATCGACTTGAAACAAGAATAATAATTTTTGAGGATTTTTGATCTGCTACTACCATTATTTTACCACCTTGAATCTGTCCTCCTTTCCGAACACGCTGTATACATAAATGGCATAATAGGGTCTTCTAATCGTGTGATTAATTTATATGTTTTATTAATGTATTTTCTTAAAATAAGAAAGAGTAGAATTCTGAAACTGTTTTTTAATTGTTACCTATGAACTTACGAGAGTCACTTGAAAAGTTTTCGAGCTCACCCTGACGGACCTCTTGATGGTTAGAAAGGTAATACGCCTACGCAAATTAAAGTTGAATTGGACTCTGTTTATGAGGGCTCTGCGCCGTCATTTACCACAATCAAAATTTGACCAACTGAATTTAAACTTAGGGTCGTAAGGGCGTAGGAGATGATAACGTTCGAGACGTCCTAAAACTGTAACTACCGACCATAATATTGCTAATATTGTTAAAGCGAATGAAAAACGTGTTTGTCACATTTTAAATTCGGATTTAGGCATGAGAAAGTCGGCCGCGCGTTTATTCACCAAGACAGCAGCGCGCCCTCTCATACCTCAGCGGTTACCAGCGGTTTGAACTGCTTGACCGCCCGCCTTACTCCCCAGATTTAGCCCCAAACTACTTCTTTTGCTTTAGGAAGACATACATTTTCGTCAAATGAGGAGGCAATCACCTTCGTCAACAATTATTTTGCGGAGAAAAACGCTGGTTACTATTTGGACGGGTTAGGGAGATGGCATCGCTGGCAGAAATACATAAAGTTACAAGGAGACCATATAGAAAAACAAAAAAAAAGAGAAAAAACGTCTTAATATTCCTTGGTTTATAGTTATATTGAAAGTTTGAAAAAATTAAACTAATTTAATTTAATTAATCTATAAAACACAGATGTATGATGTAACTGTGTACAATGGGTACAATACTAGATATCTAAATAGTATATATTAAATGTATATAAGAACAAATATAGGACTCATTAACCCCTTCTTCCAGTTATGAAGATCTATCAGTAAGGTTCTAGAATACGTAAATATTAAAACTATAGATGTTTTTACGCAAATTAAAATATGTTTAGGTATTTTTATAATTAAATAATCCTCTCCAACACTGTTATAAAAGTATTCATGAGCTATTAAGAACTGTTTGTTAAACTGAAATATTAAAAAAAGAAGAAATACAATTTATAACAATCTAGCTTCTTAAAAAACCTCAGAAAAAAGCGCATACAGATTGATACACTTAGAAATTCCAAAAAATTTAATCTTTCTAACGTTATAAAAATATTGGAAATTTGCGGAATATATTAGCATGTATTTTTTCAATATTCTTTAATTTTTGAAAAAGTTAAAAGCAGATTAACAAATACAAGAAAATGTTTTATTTATATAATCATATTTATATATTTAATAATCATTTGATGAGTTTGGCACCAGTTTCGATCAGTGTTACACTGAGAAAAAATTTTTATCAATCAGATGGTCGTGAAACACTGAGAGAAACGTTTTAAGCTTGGTGATTGGTTGCTTGGAGATGATGTTAATAAAATAGATAAAATAAAACAATGATTATGCCGCCGTCTATTTATTGCCTACTTCCTAAATTTCATCTAAATAAAACCAAAAAACGGGTATGATAGTGAAATTTCTAACCTAAAGTTGTAGTAACAAGTAATAAAAAATACATTTGAAAAATGACTTATACTGAAAAAAACTATCAATAGGTTGTCAGTCATTATTTATTCGCGACATGTTAAGTAGTCTTAAATTACTGGGTATTTTCAAATATACTACCTATAAATATACTATATGGTATAATAATATAAATATAATACCTATAAATTAGTTTACAGCTATCGTTTCGTGGACGGAATTTGATAATTTCTAAAAATATATACACAATTACAGCTACAGCTAGTTGCTGAGAATAGCTTTCAAAACAAGTAAGGCTTCCGCAGTATTTCTACGGAATGAACAAACTTTTTTAAAGTCTTAAGACCTAGTAAAAGCAGCTGAGCTCAATATTGAAAACGCCTTTTAAATGAAGCTTAAGCTTTATTAAATATGTATACACATTTTAATACTCCTCGGATAATTAAAAAACGCTTAAAAAATTATCATTAAATTAAAAAAATAGAAAAGAATACTTTTCAACAATAAAAAAGAAAGATTCTTGAATGTCAACAAACCGATTTAAATCAAATATCAAAAGTAAGGCATCTTTCCATACGAGATAAGTTCGGTGTGGGCAGAAGGGCAAAAGGGCAAATTTTTACACAAAAAGTTGACCCATATTTTTAAAAATTATTTTAACGATTTTTCAAAATCTTCATTATTCGAAGTAGGAAGTTTTGTTGTGAACACTCGGTATACGACGCGCGGAGCTACGGGTTGCAAATTTTTCCAAAAATTTGGGCATCAAATTAGTATGGTGGTTTAAGTAACGTTTGCATTCTCCGACTCCGACCACACAAGCATAGAAGGGAACAAAATTACAAGAAACGCGACCCCCGCCTCGTTTTACCCCTTCAAATAAATGTTTTCGAAGTCCTGACGCGTTACAAAACTGAAAATTCCGTCGGCGGCAAACAGCGCGGCGTTCACGAAAGCGAACGCGGTCGCTGACGTCATCATGGTGGTTAAATACATGTGCGGCTCGTCGAACTTTCTTCTGCCGACGATCAAGAATATGCCCGACACCAAGAATAACGCCGAAGCGCACACCGAAAAAGCGGCGGACATTTTGTACGGCATTTTGTCGCCGAGCAACCAACTGACCAGCAGCACCAGGTTGATTAGGATGTAGCCGGCGAACGTGGTGAACATCAAGCCGGATTGGTCCAGCTGGAACTGCAACGGCCTGTCTCTGATGCTCATTTTCGCCGGCTCGAAGAAACATGCCAGACAAAAAGCGCATAGAATCTGGAACGAAACTGCTGATTGGACGGAGTTATCCCCATCTCACTCATGGGCATGCGCATACCGATACTAAAAATTCAACCCCTCCATTTGGGAGGCAATCAGTCAGTAATTGGATCTCAAAACTTTATAATAATGAGTTTTACAATCTTTTAAACCTAAGTCTTTTCAGTTTAGGTGAGTTTTTATATTAAAAGTGGTGTTTTTGAGCAGAATAGGAAAACGGGCAACACAAATATTGTAATTATAAAAAAACTGTTTTTAAATATATTCCGACTGCTACAATCCTCAAAAAGGAGCAAGATGCTCCAGTTTTGATCGCTAAGTACGGTTCTCGAAAGATTTTCGGTCGATCCTTGTTTTATTGTAGTGTTGGAGAACATTTCGCTCTACATTCGGCGCTTTTGTTTCTAGAAACTCAGATCATTCAGCGAACTATAAAAATGAGTAATATCAATATCATAAATGTATCAAGATTAATTATTTCAAAATCAGCGGCATGCCTCTGGCTGTAACCATTGTACTTGTAAATTTGCCACCCCCAGTTTTCAAATATTAAGACGTTCCCTTCCTAAAGTGAACTCAATGTAACATCTTTAAATTTTTCATTTCATGTCTTTGTTGTTTGTTATGATCTAAACCGATTAACTCTAATTACCAGCTCCAAAATCTTGAAAATCAACTGCCAAAGCTCCTTGCCCCAGTCTTTCAGAGTTTTCCTCTGCTTAATGTTCTGCTCTTCTTTATCCTCTTCTTCTTCTGCTTTCTTGTCCATGTCCGGCGACATTATGGTGACCTTTTTCGGCACGTCGTAGACTGATTCCCTCGAAGCCACTTTGGTGAGTCTTCGTATCTGTCTGGAAATACTTGAAAGGTTTATACAGGACTTGCGTAAAGAATTATGCATTTTCAAAGAGTTTACCTGATCGGAATCACACACTTACACACGCGCACGGACTTAACTGCAACTGAACATCCGAATCACGAGTCCCTTACCTCCAGACGTTAGAGTTAATTAATAAGAGTTAACCCCAATAACCTCTTTCATTGTCCCGCCCACACTGGCCGGTTAGTCATTCGATTGTTTTTCAACCGTAGGCGCGACGCCGCTGCACCTTGTCGATGGCAGATGAAGCTGCCAATCAACCCTAACGAAATACGTTCTAACATTAACAAAATACTGTATTAGTTTAAACGTAGAAGTGAAGCAAAAGTTGTAGCTTAATTTTTCAAAGTTAAGGCAAATTTTGTTAGATATTAAAATTTGTACTGCTAATTAATAATAAAAAACATTTTGCGTAGTCTATGTAATAGACGAAGCCTGAAACTATCTCTCCACTCAATTTACGAAATAAATTTTCGAAAAATCTTAAATGAAAAACTACATTTTTTTCTAAAACAAAATTTTACTCACCCTGTACATAATCCAAAAAATACATGAAGTAAAAGTTATAGTTGGTTTTCGAGAAAATGCTTGTTTTCTGAAACCATGTAATAGTAATAGTAAATGACGTCTTCGCGTCTCGAGAAGCGCGTGTGATAGACAAAAACTGTAAATACAAAAATTGTAGCTCTTGATGTGGTTTACAACAGTATTTGAAACAATTAGTTATATTTTTTACGAAATTTGATTTAAGGCTAATAATTCACTCTGGAAAAGGGCAATTTTCAGGGTCATTTAGATTTTTTTATAAAAAAATACTTTGCGGTATTTGATTTGATAGACTTCTACTTCTTTGCCGAATCTGAAGTCGGTGGCTTCAAATTTGCGGCAACTATTAGGTTGTATAATTTTACACCTAATATCGCGAACATTCTGTACAATGGGTAAAAAGCTTAAATACAAATTTTTAGCTGTTTACACGAGCTAAAACAGATTCACTTCTGTATCACACTCTTCTTGGTATGGTAAATTTTCATTAAAAGAGGAACTCCCTTTTCAGTTTTTTTGCGAATACTGGCCACACATAGCATAGACCATTTTTGACAAATTTCGACTCCTAAAACGTCTGGTTCATGGTAAACGATCAGAAAAAGAGTTGGACAATCCTGTATATAATATATAGTGTGGTTATTTTAGTGTGCAATTAAATAACGAAAACAGTCATATTAGATGCATTTAAAATATTTGCAAGTCAAACACCATTCATAGTAAAGTAAAATAAAGGAACCTTAGAATTAAAAGGTCTGCTTTGGTATCAAAATAGGATCTACCAAGAAAAAAACAATTTCTGTTGTTTAAAACCCTTTTTAAATAGCCAAAGCATTGCTACTTATAACAGGCATAGTATGAAATCGCCATTTAAATAGCAAAATTTGTGTTTTAAATTTCCACAGTGGTCTGTCTCCCTGTTCACCAGATATCACCCCATTAGATTTTTTGCTTTTGAGGATATCGCAAACAAAAAATTTATATGGGTAGACCATTTAATAATCTGGAAGAACTTTAAAATAAGACTTCATTGCAAAAGTATTACACCAAATGTACTGAGATCAATCGTTAGCGAATTTTATGATTGTACAATTATATGCATCTGACGAGAACCTCTCTCCTTTCCAAATTTGTTTTTATGGATAATTTTTTTTATTTTCTTATTTTGTTAAATTGTGTTTTTATAAATTGGTTTAGATTAGTTCATAATATTCATGTTACTATTTACTTTGGTTAGTTTTCTATGGTTATGTGCATGTTTCTTTTCGTTAGTAAATTTTTGTAATATTAATTATTTAAAATAAAAAGTTTGCTATTTAAATGACGATTTCTGAATATGCCCGTTATAATTAGCACTGCTTTGGCTACTAAAAAATATTTTTTATAATTTTTTTGTTATTAAATATTATTAAATATCTTTGCAACAAACATAAAATCTGTGTTTCGCTAAAAATTTAAAAATCTTAGTTAATTTTACAAATAAGATGAAACCTATCATCAAATCAAACCCACTTGAACCAAACATCGATTTATTATCAAAAATTCAACTAGCACGTCAAACTGCAGTCGGGCTACTCCTGGGGGTTTTAACTTTGGTCGAACCGGTGTCTCCCCAGTGTTGGGCGGTGTATTGGACATAGCCGGGATCACTCGGACCGCTTGGTGGTCGTTCGGGAACGTCTTGGGGAGGTTTTTGAGAAGGCAGGACCACGGGCGGGATGGCTCTCCCTTTCGAGCCGGATCGTCCTAAGGAAATGCGGTCATACATTTCCTTGTAGAAAAATTGTATCTGCGCACGTAATAAAACACCAGTCTCTCATGCAGTGCTTTATTCACGGAGTGCGTCACATTGAGGTTAGTAAGACAATCAACTGGAGGTTATGCACTTGGAGTATTCGGTTGCTACACTTAATATGGCAAACGCGTTCACGGCGATCGAAATCAAAGCCCAATCACCGAAAGCCAAGCACCCCGTAGTCGGTACGAGCTCTACCCTGTCTTATTTGGCTCCAGACGGGGGCGTGAAGTTCGAATTTGGGGGGAATGCTAGCCGTTTCATCTGTCTCGCTGTCGTACCCTCCGACGTCTTTACCATAGATACCAAACCTCTTGGGTACGTCCGGATCGTCGTCTCTCATTTGCTTGTAGCCCTTGGTGGTGGGATCCAAATGAATGTAACCTGCAAATGCCAGAATTGAATATACCGAACGCCAGCTGCGCTGAGATTTACTTCTGGATTGTTGTCCAGAGACGCCATCGGCTTTGTCCGAATTTCCCTTTCTCTGACCCCCGTTGCCGTTCCTTATACCGTTGTTTTTAACATCTTTCTTGGTTTTGGCCTTTGAGTCGTCCCTGTCGAAGCTCTCTCTTTCAGACCGTTCGATTTCCTTTAACCAAAGGATATTAGATGGATGGATGGTGATGGTAGGACCATTAATTACCCTTTCAATGTCTATTATCTGCTGGGTGATGCTCGACGGACGATCAGGCTCTGTGGTGGTTTTTAAGGGCTGTTGCTGTTGCGCTGGGAGCTGTTTCTCCTTGGCTTTGGGCGCGGCCATGTCCAGCAGGAACAAGGCCCCAGTAAGCAGGGAGAGGGTGCCCAAGATGGCCGCGTTATCGACTAGTTTGGGAGTTATGTATTCGATGGCCGCAAATGCTAGGCTTCCTGCAAATAGATTGGTGTGATTTAGAATATCAGTTACATTAATTATTAATAAAATACATCGCCAATTATTCGGCCCCCAAATCCCCAACTAATTTGGTAGTCAGCAAACTTAAATGATGCTAAGGTGGTTTTAATGGCATTTGGGAGTGAGGAATTAAGTCATATGGCTCAGATTTTAGGCCTGTAAGTAGTAGTGTTTTGGCGTTTACAAGAAATTTAAAAAATCGAGATTTTAGAATAAAATTTAAAAAGAAAATGTTAATATTTCTAATGATTTAGAGAAAAGAGACATTTTTGTGTTTAGAAAAAGCAATGGCTTAACATTTTACCTTGGGTACTGGCACAAGTCGTGTGGACCAAATATCACAAAAATATCTGAAGTGCTTTAGAAAATGCATTCATATATTTTAACACCCCATATCTTAGAAACTAAATATTTTGGGATTCATGTTGGCGGGAGCTCTGTGGAAACGTAGCTACGATGTATTTCTGGTTTACTCTATTTAGATATTTTATATTACAACAGTTTATTGCCTCCTTGAAATAATCGTCCACCGCTTTGACCTAAATTTCCGCTAAAAGTTAAAGATAATTGCGTAAATTAATAATAATAAAAAAAACAAATAACTAGGGCTGTTAATTAAAACCACCTGCTAATAGTCATCAATTACATCGCCGTGGTGAGAACGCGACAGTCAAATGTCATTACCACCTCATTGTCTGCAATAATAATCGCATTTCTCATCTAATATAGCGGCGACGACCGAGCGCGGATCCTTGAGGCACACCGCTAATTGTTTACGATTGAATTAATTCCACGATTACAACATACGCACGTATAAATTTAATAACTCAAATCTATTTTGCTTTTTTTGCTGCCATGTGCGTGTGTCGAAGGTCAAGCGTATACATACAGAGCGTCCCAAAAGCGGGTAACCGCCTGCGTTGTCCATGCCGTATTCGCCCAATGTCATTTTTTCTTTGGTACAACACGTTGGTAATATTTAAACCAAGGTTAATTGCATTAATAAAATGCACGTAATATGACTTGACGGGTGACGGCAATGAATGGTGATTCAATAGTCTTACCCATAATCACGAAAAGTATGGCGCCAACTCCCAGCAAAATGAGCTCTGCCACTCTCTTCTTGGTAGGGAGATCCCCTGTCAATTTCCCGATAAGCAGGGCTGAAGTTATCACGGTGTAACCACCGTAAGTGGCGTCGGCCACCGAAGCCCCCACCCTGTCCCACGTGACGTTGGTGAGTAGGCTCCATTCTCTGGAAATTTTCTGGAGGTAGAGGAAGAGGCTTCTGGCTTCGTCATCCGTTACTCTTTTGAACACTAGGCAGGCTACTACTAAGACCTGAAGGAATAAGTTTGGGTTTTTCTTCGTTATGGTGTACCGCCAGGTAGCGATCTGGGGTACGGCGTAGTTACATTTGTTAAAGACTTACTAGTTCGAAAACTCGCAACACAGTCCATAGGTCGAATCTGCCCATATTTATGTATTGTTATCTGTTATTTGTTCATAATATCGCACCTGTAACCTGTAAAATTTTCTTAACAATTTCTGTCTCGTATCAAATAGAATAACATATTTTTAAATTTTCTTAAAACAAAAAAAAAAGGAAAACAGGCAAAATTAAACATGTCTCGTTTGATTTACATCATGCTTCCGATATTTTGAGTAGGTGTTTGGATTTTTGTCTGCGGTTTACCGTGTTCGTTAATGAACTTGTTACACCGGGTGTTTCAAATTCCACATCCACCAATGAAATTTGGCACTGTTAGGAGGGAATTTTTTAAAGTTTAGTAAATTTAGTGTTACGGACATAATAAACCAGTGCTAAATCTGAAAATCTTACTGTACCGAGAGGAAGACGTCGCGTGCGCTTCATTTTTTTTATTCCAGTCTCATCGGTTGTGTTTACTATTGTGAACATCACAAGTATCTGACTATCTCAGTGAAAGTTTTAGTGAAGGGTTCGTAAATAGGTACAATTTGTTGAATACTGAGAAGTAAGAGTCATGTGAGCCCCATTTTTTATAAGATTCAAAATTCTCCAGTGCTAGATCTGAAGGTTTTACTGTCCTAGACATATTTCCAAATCGACAATATATATTGCATAGTACGTATGGCAAATTGTTAAAAAAAAATGAAACGGCGGTAACTCACTTATCCAATATTACAGCAATCTATAAACAACGAAGGAAAGAAGACACTAACCAAAGCACAAGGATTTAATCACACACAAGAGGCTAAAAAAATCGCACACCACTTACACTTGGAATTTCATAAGAACTATACTATATTTTGCGTGCTGAATTCTAAAGTCCTATTTAGTTCTGGTATCCAGTGAGTGAAAATTGCTATTGAACATAATGATTTGGAAATACCTGATATACTTATGGCACTTTTCTGAACCAAGAAGACATTTGTTGAATCAGTCGACCACCCCCACAAAATTATACCGTACCTAATTCTACTCTTAACATGAGCGTAATAAACACTTAATAACATTTGGGATTGGGTTGAAATATCTGTTAGGTTATGTACTAAATAGATGTTGGATTCCATCTCCGAAGTCAAAGAAGAGTCTTGAGTCTTAAAATTTATGTTTTTATACAAATATACCAAAAAACTTCACATTATATGCTGACGATAAATTTTCACTATTTAGATGAATAACATTTCTACATGGCTTCTGGATAATATGAAATCTTCCAAAATGTGTTTCTTTGTGGATTAAGATATAAGTTATTATATCTCCCTAGTTGCATTTGTCTCCCAGGCATGAATCACACCTACCCGTCATAGATATCATAAACCAAACTCTTTCAACGATGTGTTCTCGAAGTCGTCCGAGCTATGCAAACTCTTTAAACTGGCATAACATATTGTTTCCTAAAAAATAACGGACCGCTGATAACATTGCAAGATATTTTTCGTAACATTAAGTAGTGATTTACACAATCGAATGTCCTGATGAGGTTAGAGAGGACCCTAACAGGACAATCGCCAGACTCTATAGGGTTTATACGAATACAGTAACTGGTTATCCGATGGTATCTTATTGTTTTTATAATACAATAAAAGTTGTTGCAAATATGCGTGCTCGAACAATCTCGAGAAACCAGTACTGTATTGTAATTATTAATATTTGTTTTACTGCCTTTTTTTGTTGGATACAAGGATAAATGTATCCGAAAATAAAATGGATTAATAATAAATATTGATACGTGCATAATAAAACAAAAAGAGTAGACAAGGAACTCAACATGATTTGTTCATCTTTGCTTTTTTATTTTTCCGCCATTTTTTGGTACGTTTTCCTCCGAAAACACTTCGAACACTCGGAGCGCGAGCATTGAAGATGCCAAGTGAGATTTTGGCGAAACGTCTGCAGGATTCCAGTCGGATGCAAGATTTGCAGGATTCCAGTCGGAGTTCAACGAGCGAACGGATGATCCCGGAATATAGTGTCATCACATTTTTCCATCCGTGAATCAATACGTGAGTATATATATATATATATATATATATATATATATATATATATATATATATATATATATATATATATATATACTACTAAAAGAAACTAACACCAAAAAAAGAGAATTTTATGAAAGTCTAGAAATCCAAAAAAACAAAAAATCTATTGATTACAAAACCGATTCTAAAACCTAAACAAAATATATCATTCAATTTTAAACTAACAAAATTAAATTATCCAATATAATAAAAAATAATAAAAAACATCCGTACCTGTTTTGCATATTAACACCACGTCAAGTGTCATTAATTGTTAAATATGTCACCTATACAAAATAAGAATATTTTGAAAAAGATCGAAATTACGATCGAAACGTTAATAAATATAAATAAATAAAAGATAAATAAAGACAATGAACAACAAAGGCCTTAAAATTTAGTAGATTTTTTTTAATACTATTATTCGGATACATGCCCCATTTTGTTTGCGATAAAAGTATAATCCTCGCGATATAATTTTCTTTAGAATTCTGTGGAAATTTTTTAATTTATACTTGACATTTTTGACTTTGTTTAAGTTATCTCTTATCTCTTACCGTTTCGGACACCCCAATGGACAGAGTCGAATTTGAAACACCCAATATGCGATTAAAACGTCATATTATCTTCTGTCAGTATTAGAGGCATTTTATAAATCAAACGAAACGATCAAACGCACTTACCGCTGAACAGTTCACAACAAACTCGCGATTCGAGTAAAAGGATCGTTTGTTATTTTTAACGCTTTTACTCAATTTAATGCGAACAATGCACAAAACAAATTATCACTTTCTGACTGCCCCAGAAACATTTTTAAGGCGTCCGGTTCCGTATGAAAATTATCCGCCAAATGGCTGGCGATAAGCGAAACCGCCGTTTTCAAATCATACGCTCGCCGAGTTATGAGGAATTACCGTCGTTCCCCCGAGCGGTATCGAGTGCTACTCGTATAAATAACAATAATTCCTTGGGTATTTAGTTAATACATTTCCCATGTCTTCACGGCTGGAAAGGTCGTACCCACACATCGCCATTGTCCGCAGAAAAAAAACGAAGCAACTAGGTAAAACATATTTTCCCGCGAGCTTGACAACTTGCAAGCGTGTGTTATCAAGGAATATTTAATTGTTTTCAAAAAATAATCTATTATGGTACGCCACTGACGTCCCATGCGTTTATTAGCTACTGGGACAAATCACTTTACCGCATGTCCAAAATTCGATGGCTTTTCGAGGGGCTACTAGTGGAGACAGAGAAAAATCGGATCTCCGTTTGCGGGATTCCAGTTTCAAGTCCAGTTTTTCGGTAAAAACGTAATTTTAATTTTTTGTAAATTGAGTTTTTGTATAGATTGTTGCTTTTCTTATGAAACACCACAACCATTTTTTTATTTCCATCCGAATTCACTATAAAACGGCGTGGTTCTTTCAAATATTAAATAGTTTTTGAGACATTCGAGTTGCCATGACATTCATGACAACCAGTCTTTTTTAACCATAACTTATCATACCATTTACAGAGGCTAGTTATTTTTTACGGGATCTCCCCATTATAAGCATAAATAATACATGTTATAAAGATATGAAAAATTAATAATTATTCTTCAAAAGAAAAAGAAATCTAGATATATGCTAAAATAACAACAAAAAAGTGCAGTTTGTTACTTCCAATATGTAGTAATAGTCTTACTTTAAACAATGATATTTTTAAACTGAGCTAAACTTAAGCCCATATCATAGTTCACTTCCAAACTGTAATGCTCTATCAATCGGGTGATTACAACAATTATTTATATAATAAAAATTATGTGTCGAATGTTCTGAATTAACGTTTTGGTATGTTTAGGCTTATTCTGTTTAGTAGTTCAGGGCCTTGAGTAATATTATTCAATAATTTAAAAATAAATACTAAGTCAAACTGAATTTTTCTAGATTTAGATTTAGATTTAACCTTTCCAATATTACTTACTTACGATACCTCAAGGACTTGTTCTGAACCTTCTCAATCTGAGCATAAACTGGTGACCAAATCAGTGTTGCAAATTCGAGCTGAGATCTAACAACGGAGCAAAACACTACCTTTGTGATGTCAATTGAGAATTCATCACAATTTCTCAAGGTGAAACTTAAGAGCTTGAGACGTTTTTGTGTGTTATGTGTGATACGTGATATTTAAAATTAACATTTTCGTTAAAAATTAAACCTAGATCTCTAGCCTGACTTTTATAATATACTTTTTCATTATTCATGTGCAATTACTTGACTGCCTTTAAAAAACCTAATAAAGAAGAACTTATAAATATTTAGTTTAAAGTTACTAAGTTGAACCTATTCCCGAAGCTTCTGTCTCCCTTCTGGTAATATTTGCATATTGTAAATGAATTCTGATTCTGGTAAATACTTCTATTATATATTTATTTTAATTTATATATAAGTATAGCTATATACTTATATGTATTTTTTTATTTTTTTAAACATTTATTTTAATTTGCTCTATTTTAGACTATGTTCTTATGTTTTTTTATTGTCATAATGATTATATATATATATATATATATATATATATATATATATATATATATATATATATATATATATATATATATATATATATATATATATATATATCTGTTATTGTTCGTTTTTAAGACAAAAAACATTAATTTTCCGTCATATTGCCCCCTTAAGTTTCTAGCATGTCTTTTGAATCGCCCTGTATATGTTGAGGAAAGAATGAGATTTACAATATACACGTTTTAGATCGATGTCAAGCAATGTTGACAAAACACTGGCATGACTTACCAATAGTCTCCAATTTAAAGGAAATTAGGTCACAAATTAAAAACTTACGGTGTTTCGTAGGGAAAACAACGCCTTTATCGAATACCTCAAAATGTAAAACGGGTGAATAAAAATTTAGTTAGAGGGCTGAATTTTGCTCTAAAAAATAGATATTTGCACGGACAAGAAATTTTCATAAATGAAGAAGTAATCTACCCTATCCCGGATTTTTTGAAAAACATCCGTAGCTCAAACGCGGGTTGGCACATCCTGTCCTCTCTTGAAATTCAAGATCCGCAAACGGAGGTCAGATTGTCTCTGTTTTACATTGAAGTACCTCAAGTCCCCACGTGGAGATGGGATTAATTTTACTGATCACAGAGAAAGTCTACAATTTAGAGCAATCAACTGGAGTAATTACTTCCAGGATGATCAGCAGATGCTCTTCGCTAAGGTCAAATAAAAGTAGAGAGGGAGGTAAATTTTGGTGCCGAGAATATTGTGATAGGTGTTTAACATGCAGAACTTTTTGTAAATTCTTATCGCTGATATGCCTTTATAGTAAACAGTTTATTTAAGTAGTGAACAATATTAACATTTTTGAATATTTAAGAACTGTTCCTTAGCGCTTCTCCTTTGAATTTTACCAGTGAGAGTTCTTGACAAACTCCCAACTACTTTCACGCCAGCTCTGATGCGATGACTATCCGATACCCTAGCGTTTACAAACTCGATCAACTCGTCCACGTCGATATCCGAACCTTTCTTCGGTACGACGCAAGCGGCAGGATGAAACCTGCAAGATGATTGTGTAAATTTGTCAATAAATCTCCAAAGTAGTACCTATCTCCATGGTGCGGTACACCGAACACAACCGCTTCGTGAACAGAGGGATGCTGCTGGAAAACTTCTTCAATGAGTGCCGGCGATACATGGAACAGTTGGTACTTGAATGTCTCGCTAATTCTGTCCGTGACGTAAACGTATCCATCTTCATCGTAGTACCCGAGATCGCCTTGCTTGAGAAAACCTTCTTCGTCAAACGAGTCGGGCTTGTCCAGCTTATGGTATCCAGTCGACAGGTATGGACTTTTAATCAATAACTCGCCTTGCTGGTTAGGACCTACTAGCGTTCTAGTCTCCACGTCTACAAACTGACAGATTCTTTTATCCAAATGATAGCAATAGTTTTAATTTTCCCTGTTACTTTCCATGTAAAAGCATTAAACTGGACATAAAAGAAAGAGAAAGATTACAATCGAACTGTGTGCTCAAAGTCTTTTTAATCAAAAAGTGGAAGTCCACCCCAAATTATAAAAGAGTAGGAAGGCAGTATTAGCTTTTATAGATCTTATATTATCTGTAGCTTTGATAGTTAATTCGTGCTTGGTACCTTTAATTGGACATCTGGTACTGGTGTGCCAGAAGACACTAGCTTTTCCTCGTAGGCTTTCTGGCAGTTGAGATCAAAGGCAGTCACATAGTGAGCCTCGCTAGACCCGTACGCCAAAGTGACCTTGGTATGCTTCAGAACGCTTCTCACCTTCGCGACCTGTTTAGGGTCCATGGTGGCGCCACCTAAATGAAGAACTTGAAACGAAGAGGTATCGTATTTCGCTATAACGTTCTCGGCCAAATTGGTCACGGAATATGTGAATTCGCCTGAAGTAAACGCATATGTCATCTAAAACAACCAAGCTTGAGTCCATGATCAGACTACACCTAATTGGTCATCACTTTATACTTGTCGGCAAGCTCGAGGAACTTCTCGCCGGTGATACCAGACCCGACGACTTTCGTCTTTGCCTTCGCTATACACCAACCTGATACCATGGCTCCAGATATCCAAAATAATGATGAGAGGTGGGCGCAAACGTCCAGATTGTAACCGAAATGCCTAAAAAAACGAAACCATTTCATTTTGCATTAAAATCTCGATTGCTTACTCGGAAAGGCCGTGCATGCCATACAGTAACGAGAAGTGACTCATACAGATGCCTTTTGGAGTGGAGGTGGTTCCGCTACTGAATATTATCACGGCCGTCTGATCTTTCTTAATTTTCACCGGTTCAAAAGAGCCTATTTCATCACCATTGTTACCCAGCATGTTTTCCATAGTCTTGTACTTCTCAGAACGGCCTATGACAATCACTACCGGTACTATCTCGAAGTCTTTCAGGCTTTCTTCTATCAATGGGACAGCATCTTCAACAACGAAAAGCACTTTGGGTTCTACGATGTTCAGGGAACGCCTGACGTCATAAGGCTGTTGCTTGGGATCTACCGAGGCGACGCTAGCGCCGATGAACCACGCGGCTAGCGCGGGCACTATGTTGTCCGCGTTGTTCTTACAGCATAGCAAGATGACGTCTTCGGCACCTACACCCAACCTTATCAATGCCAAGGCCACGGGTACCGATCTGTTTTTCACTTGCTCGAAGGTTTCGTATTTTCCAGTATCAGCATCAATCTGCAAAACACCGCATGGGTCAACGATGTGACTCACTAGTACCATTAAAAAGGAAAGAGGAAGTTTTTGAAGGGCAGAAATTAAATTCGGAAGGAGGGGGGTCTCACGTGGAACTGAATTGTGATTTATGAATATCCGGACTTTATTTTAAGATGATGTTTTGTTTCTGATTGTACACTTCAAGATCTTTTTTAATCAATTTGCTTATTATTGCACAATTACCAATTATTAACAAAATATAGGTTTGGGATGTACTGTTTACTTTCATATTATACATGCGGTCTCAACAGTGCTAAAAGCATCAAAGATTTATTTCTTAATTGGAACGCACTGTACAGGGTGGTCCTAATTGGAGTGTTTTAATATGACAAACCGATTTCTGAAGTAGATAGAACAAAATCGGCTTACATAACAAGGACTCGATCTTTGAGAAACATTTAATAGTCAAATCGACATCTTCGCTACCAACCGAGATATAGGGCGTTTTTCAATTTACAGCCCTTTAAAAAATTGTCCATTTGTTTAAGGCAAATGCGGTGGCATTCTCGGATTTTTTCTACAGTGAATACAGCTTTCTTATTTTATATGGCACTCATACTTTGCTATGGTATTAAAAAAATGCCCGTGTCAAGCTCTTTTCAGCCATATAGGTTTGCTAGTGAAGGCGGAACTATAGGGCATTCTTTGTTTATCTACTATTAGGCCGTGCCCTCAATATCAATTAGGGACATAACTTTTATTCTTTATTGAACTTGAGAAGTATTGGAAAATCCAAGAATATTGGTCACGGGTACGCAACAAATGCTGAAAAAACTGAAGTTTTGACTACTTTAAAAAAATATAAATTGAAGCCATATCGTACCCGAAAAGTCCACCAATTACATGAAGGGGATGCCAGCAGAAGAATAAATTTTTGCAACTGGTCTATCGGTCGCTGTGTATTGTTCAATTTTGGGAAGACTTGCATTAATTCTTGGAAGGAGTATTTATTATCACGCGGGTTGTTGGATTGGATGTTGGATTGCAATTCGACTAGATTTTTTTTATGGGGGATATTAAAATATCATATATTTAAAGATATAATTTTCCAAACCAAATTAGAGTTACAGGAAGCCGTAAGAGAAGTATTTGAGTTAGTGTACTGAAGAAGGCGACGTTAAAATATGTTAATATAATTAAAGTAAAAGGTTAAATTTTAATGTTTTGTATTCTAATATTTATTGTGTTTGGTTTCTAAATAATCAAAAATATTAAAAATAATATCTAAAATTAAACTATTAAATGGTTCTTAGGTTTCGTGTTTTTCACTTAAGTCATTTTAAATTGGCCTTATCTTTTTTAAAGTTCCAGTGTTTATTCAATTGTTTTAAAGGTTTTTATGTGCAAAAAAGTACCGGTTTTAAAAAGTGTTGTTCCCACTAGGGTGCTATTTGAAAGAAAGAGGTTATCCTAAAAAATAATAGTTCATTACATTAAATGATATTTGCCATTAAACAAGTAAAGAAAAGTTTTATCAGGTGACCTTGTAAATAGTATTTATGATGGTCACAGCCTCCTAGACACAATTTAATAAAAATTAAATTAAATAAATTTAAATAAAAATTAAGTGAAATAAATTAAATTATTAAATTAAAAAAAAAGAGCAAAAGCGTCCTACCCGGTGTATATATATATATATATATATATATATATATATATATATATATATATATATATATATATATATATATATATATATATATACCACTTATACACAATCAAAACTTTTTTTTATCAAAGATACAAATCAATATGGCTTGAAAGGGTTCGATCCGGGCATGTTTTTACGATTATAGCCAACTATGAGTGCCATATAAAATATGAAAGTTGTATTCAGTTATGAGAAAACGGAGAACTGTAGAAAAAACCTAAGTACGCCACTGGATTGCTTTATAATAAAATAAAAATAAAAACCTTATGGGCAATTTTATGAAGGCCAGAAAGTTGAAAAACGCCGTATATCTCGGTTGGTAGTGACGTTTAAACAATTAAATGTTTCTCTTGCTTGTTTGCCGCCACCTATTTGTTATTTTTTACTAGCCATATTTTGGGAAATTATTGCATCTGTCCCTCATTCAAAATAGCCGATACCTATATTATAAAGTTTTCGATTTGCTTGTTGTCGTGTTGCCAAGCTGGGATTAGACACTTAGATAAGAAATGTATAAAGCGTTTTAAATGTACTAACGAAAATCGTATGATTTAGGAATGAGCGTTCAGTGTTTATGAAAGTCAAGTTTAAGAGTAAGTTTTAACAGTAAATCGCTGAACGTCGTTTTTAAGACATGAAGGTGTTCTAATAATATGTCATTACTGCATCTGATTGAACTAACTGTATAATTTTGGATTCTTAATTTGAGCTAATTTACATTTTAAATTTTAAATAAGTAATAGCAACAGCTGAAGGCCAATTTTTTTAAATAACAATTTGGTAGTTTTAATGTAGATTTTCTTCAACTCCTTTTAATCACCGATATAAGATTAAAACTAAATCTAACTTTATGAAACTGGCAATACCAGAATTAGAATTGCCCTTTACTTACTTGAAAAATTTTGTCGCCATTTTTGCGAGCGTTTTCGAAGAAAGCTTGACCCAAACTCCTGTCCTTGGGACCGCGAGGGCCCCCCTGGGGACCTTTCAAAATGCCCGTCACCATTTTATCGTTAACGACCGTTTGATTCGCGAGGTTCGAGCTCGATTATTAATGATCTTGACCCTCGAATCCGCCTCTCTACGCGTTATCTTGTTCGCGGGGATCGGGATTATTTATTCAAGATTACGACAATTTACAATGTATTTATTTAAATAGTTGATATTTACATTTTAGATTGTTTAAAAATTTCTCTTTGACCAATCTCCGTTGAATTTTACCCGTGAGGGTTCTCGGTAGGCTCTCAAGTAGTTGCAGGCCAGCCCTGATGTGATGACTATCCGATACCCTAGCGTTTACAAACTCGATCAACTCGTCCACGTTAATATCGCAATCCTTTTTAGGTACCACGCAAGCGGCTGGATGGAACCTAAAACAATATTCGGTAAATAATCATATTAATCATTTATACCAAACCGCACAAAATACAAATCGAAAAAAAAAAACTAACCAAAACAAATGAAGAAACAAAGAAATAAAAAAGAATTAAAACAAAATTACAAATCATAGAAAACCATTACGTGGGGGTTTAAAAAAAATGTCATGACAATATATTTCCAGTGTTCGATATGCGTTCGGAGCGCGAGCATTGAAGATGCCAAGTTAGATCTTGGTGAAACGTCCGCAGGATTACAGTCGGAGTTCAAGTTCAACAAACGAACGGGTGATATGCCGGAATATATTGTCCTCACATTTTTCCATCCATCTGTATCTGTGATGGGTGTTGGTTTTCTATAGTTGGTTTTCCAAGTGCCCTCGTTTAGTACTTGTGATATGCACATCTAGAAGGGGCAGACTGTTATCCTCTTCAAGTTCTATTGTGAATTTAATCCTCGGATGAATGGAATTCAGATGTTCTAGGAATTTCAAAAGCTTCTCCTTGCCAGAAGGCCATACGTCATGTTGTCTGTAGTTTTGGCTTCAGATTCGTCATCTCTATTGCTTTCTTTTCGAAATAAATCATGAAAAGATTTGCAATCACTGGTGAGAGAGATGATCCCATTACTGCTCCATCTACTTGTTGGTTTATTTTTCCGTTGTACATAAAGTAGGCATTTTTCAGACGGTGTCTTGACAGATCCATTATGTACGGCGGAAGATCTTCATTTTCTTCTGTAAGCAGGAGCGCCTCCTCTACTGGAATGCTCAGATATAGCGATTTGATACGAAGCTTGCCATAATGTCGTCTTTGTCCATCCTGAGAGAACCTAAAATCTGAGTGAAGTGTTCTGAATTTTTGACATATTAGTGTGCCTTTTCCACCATGGGCTGTAGTGCACTGGCCAGATGTTCTTCCAGCTTGCATACTGGTGAGACGCCTATGTCATAAATTCAGACGATTTCACTCAGATTATAGGTTCTCTCCGGATGTCATTAAACTGCATATCTTTTTCCTAACCTCCAATTATTATCAAAAGAACTTAATGCTCATAAAAAAGTTAGATTTTTAGAAAAATTTCCACATTACGGGTTGTTTTTAATGCATAATTATATGGAATTTACAAAATAAACCGCACTAAAGTGTTTCTGGATATTTTCATTTTTTTTACAATACATTGTACCAAATTACCCAGTAAATGATATTTCTACGTTTTGAGATGCTTAACCGTTTTCAAATATTTTTCATTTATTTACCACTTCAATGTTTTTCTTCGTTCTTCGATTTCTTCTAGGCACTAGATTACGATGAGTTTAAATATTTAAAGTAATTAATCCAAAGACTTTGACAAGCACCAGATCAGATAACGAAGTGTCAGGTTCGTAGCGTGTGGTCAGGTTGAAATAAATTAATTTGCTTTTTACGGAAATCTTGATAATTATAAATGATTGATTTCTGTAATTTTCAAAATGATTTTCCACATGTTAGTTAGTTAGTAAAAAACGTCAATAATCAAAATTTGTTTCCAACAAATGAATTAGTGACCAAGTTAGTGAATAAACGTAACATAACGTAAATAATAATATTTTAGACATTTGTCATCAATGTAGGTAGGATTCACAATTTTTATCTACGAAAAAAAAACACTTATTCTCCAATGAGGATATTTTGGTGTTTTAGACTAAAACGTACTGTTAAAAAGGCGTATTCATTAACAAAAGACGAACTTTGACGATTAAAAACCTGGTAAGTACAAATTCTCAGGTCGAGACGCGATTGTGAATGCTTGTGAAGTATTCACAATCCAAAATCTAAATTCTTATTCATATTTTAGGTTAGAAAAATGTAATTTTGGTGTGGTTTTTATTGGGTTGTTGAGCTTTTATTTGACTATTTCATACAATTATTTTTCTTGTCATGTCTTGCCATATGCCTGTTAGCAAAGAAAGCAACCATAATAGCGTCATAGAATAGAAAAAACCCGAATCCAAGTTTATTAAAATTCGTTAAGCCTTTTTGGGAGATATGAACATTTTGTTTAAGCAAATATTTAAAAAGCTCCCACCAATTTATTGGCAAAGATAGGACAAAGTACATTAATCAACAAAGATTTGAATTTGTTTGAGCTTTCAAATAGTTTTGGTTGCTTAAAATAGGCGGATCCTTTTTATATACGTAAAATGGCAATTTTGAGATTTTACAGCAATCTATCAAATGTTTTACGTCTTTCTACGATTTTTCTTTACGAAACGGCAGTGTCATTCGAAAAACTAACATATCAGTTATGCATCGTTCTAAAACAATGTAATACCTGTCTCCATGATGGGGTATCCCGAAAACAACCCCCTCCTGAACGGCGGGATGCTGCAGGAAAACTCTTTCAACGAGAGATGGTGACACGTGAAACGTTCTGTACTTGAATGTCTCACTAATTCTATCCGTGACGTAAACGTATCCATCTTCATCGTAGTACCCGAGATCGCCTTGCTTCAGGAAACCTTCGTCATCGAACGTATCGGGTTTTTCCAGCTTGTAGTATCCGGTAAACAAGTACGGACTTTTTATCAGAATCTCGCCTTGCTGGGCAGGACCTACTGGTGTTCTGGTTTCCACGTCAACGAACTGAGAGATGTGTGGTTTTAACTTAAAAAGTATAGGCGAATGCTACCTCATTTTCTTATGTTTTATATTTTCTGTAGTTTTAAGAGGGCGTATCTTATTCCTACGTGGTTGGTACCTTTAATTGGACATCCGGTACTGGTAACCCAGAAGAGGTTAGTTTCTCCTCGTAGGCTTTCTGGCTGTTGACATCAAAAGCTGCGATACAGTGAGCCTCGCTAGATCCATACACCAAGGTCACCCTGGTGTGCCTCAGGACGGCTCTTACCCTCGCAATCTGTTTAGGATCCATGGTAGCTCCGCCTAGATTAAGAACTTGCAACGAAGAAGTGTCATATTTCGATAGGATGTCTTGGTCTAAATTGGTGATGGAATACGTGAATTCGCCTGACGTGAACGCATAGGTCACCTAAACAACCAAGCTACAGGTCATTTTCAAACTACGCAGTAGATGGCGAGCACCTTATATTTATGAATACACTCGAGGAACCTCTCGCCTGTTATACCAGAACCGACAACTTTCGTTTTTGCCTCCGCGAGACACCAGCCCGTTATCATCGCTCCGGATATCCAGAACAACGACGAAAAGTGCATGCAAACGTCCAGATTATAACCGAAACGCCTAAAAAACCACGTCATCTTATTTTGCATAGAAATCCCGAACGCTTACTCAGAAACGCCGTGCATGCCATACAGCAATGAATAGTGACTCATGCAGATGCCTTTTGGAGTGGAGGTGGTACCGCTACTGAATATTATCACGGCCGTCTGATTTTTCTTTATTTTTACTGGTTGAAAAGAGTCTACTTCATCACTATTGCTACTCAGCATGCTCTCCATAGTCTCGTATTTGTCAGAACGGCCGATGACAATAACTACCGGTACTATCTCGCAGTCTTTCAGGCTTTCTTCTATCAATGGGACGGCATCGTCGACAACGAACAGCACTTTGGGTTCTACGATGTTCAAAGAACGCCTGACGTCGTAATATTGTTGCTTGGGATCTACCGAGGCGATACTAGCGCCGATGAACCAGGCGGCCAGAGCGGGTATTATGTTGTCCGCATTGTTCTTGCAGCATAGCAGAATAACGTCTTCGGCACCTACACCCAACTTTTTCAGTTTCAAGGCGACGGGTACCGACCTGTTTTTCACTTGCTCGAAGGTTTCGTACTTTCCCGTATCAGCGTCAATCTGCGTAACACCAAGTGGCTTAATATAGTATATGGGGCTTCCCCCGATTCGTTAATGTGGTTTTTGTCCATTATTAAGGACTGGAGATAATGCAAATTACATTTTGTAGTAAAAAGGACAGATATATTGTGTTTTTCGGTATATTGTTATATATTATTTTTATGAATTAAGTATTCAAGCAAATATTTTATTTGGAAATCCATATTCATATCTCAACAAAAATAACATGAAAATTGGTAGACAGAACCGTGATAGTACAAAAGAGAATGTAATTGTAATAAGAAGAAAGTGAAAAAGAAAATAGTAACAAACAGTCTATACAACGTAATAAAGAAACTCCAACTCAACTTGCAATGGAATCAAACAAACGAAATACGTAATTTGAATTGAAAAATGGGAAGCGGTCGAAGTTAAGGAAATCTTATTGATTTTTTCAGATTTAATAAGGATGGTTTTTCTTACTGTATATATTAATATCACAATACTTCCTTCTAAAAAAAGAGCTAAAACAGATATAAAAAAATACATACCAATAACGTCATATATTGCTTACAAAAATTTTTACGGATAGTTTTTTAAAGAAACTCCCATCATCAGTTTCAGCTAAGTTTTGAAGAAGCCAACAGGGCAATTGGCGAAAAGTCAGCAGGTTCGATTCAACAACCACCTACGCAGGAGGGATCCAGAAGTTTGGTACGTAGTATTAATGAAAGGACCACCAACGAAATTTGACGGATACCAATATAACGCACAGGCATACCATATACCCCTCCTTTAAGCATTTGTTAAAATAGCTTTCGACACTATAGACCACCGGACTTGTAAAAAACGAATTGAGTAAAAGTAGAATAGACTTCAAAGGTACGCTTTTTATTGTAATATCTAATCAAATCTAACCAAAAATAAACTGATGAAACACTTACTTGGAAAATTTTCTCGCCATTTTTGTGTGCGTTTTCGAAGAAAACTTGACCCAAGCTTTGGTCTCTGGTGCCGCGAGGTCCCCCTTGGGGGCCTTTTAAAATACCCATCACCATTTTATCGTCAACGTCTGTTTGTTTCGCGCGGTTTGAGCGCGAGTATCAACGATATTGACCTCGAATCAACTTCTTTATGCGTTATCTGGTACGCGTGTGATTGGCGACTTACTCAAATTCGTATAGCTTATCTCGTGCAAATTCAAACAAAAACTGGGTATAAATGAAACCAAAAAAAGGCAAGCCAGTTTAATCGAATCGTCGAGCAATTGAAGGCCAACAACAAACAGCTGCTAAAGAACATTGACCATAAGAGAAAACTTATTCGAATCTGTGGTATCCGTAAAGGGCAATTGAAAATACAGAAGAATAAAGTTTAATTAATTTTTTCATCGAATTCACCTGAAAATTGTTTTCGAATTGGACATTTAAAGAATAGCATGTGAATGTAAAAGGAGCTTTAAGTAATCCGGAATATCTATATCTCAAAATCTAACCCTTCTGTAACTAAATTTTCCGAACCACTATCACGTATATACTAAACGTCTAAAAATATCTGTGTCTAAAAATTATGTAGGTGTTACAATTTTACAAAAAGTTAAATTTTGAATTAAGGTTGGTATTCCGACAAGCGTTAAAAAAATTCGATTTCAACTATAGATCATATATACCTATATTACTAAATAAACCAAGGAAAACATAAAAACTTAGACCATGGTGTTAATGACCTTGCCTATTATTATAGTTAAATAAAAAAAATCGTGATAGTATTACAGTTTTGCAAAAAGATCTCTTTGTACAATTAATTCTCAAATTTGTGTATATACAAACAGCTTCAAAAAAAAATCCAACCTGTATGTTTATGACTTAATAATGAAACTTTTAGTCAAAAAAAATTATTGGTTTTAAACTTTCTAAATTGATTTCCTTAGAAGATACAAAATCTTCACTCTAAAATATTAAACGTAAAAACTTCATTATTCTTCATTACAAAAATAATAACAAGTCGTTGTGGCTTCTTCCAATTACAATTTTTTTTATTTTCGTAGCTGTCCAATAACAGAAAAGTACAAAATCTCACCAAAAAAAAACTCAGTGGACTAGTTTAAATTATTCAATACACGCTAAATCAAACTAAGAACTAATTCCAGCTTTTTTTTAAAGTGTGTCAATTGATATACCGTCCTAAGGGTCGTTTAAATGCTCCAAAGCCAAGATTAAATAGGTCAAGATCGGGGTGTAATGTAAATTTATATAAAATGAAAATTATTAGCAGCATTTTTTTTAAATTAATTTACGCTGCAGTACTAAAAATATACGATATTCATTTATGTTATGGGTATTATATTTTTCAAATTTAATTTTTGTTTCATATAAATAGCAAAAAAACAATTATATCGTATAAAGTATTCGATATTTATAGAATTTTTGAACACAACACATATATCATATTATTTAGATATATTATCATATTATCTACACTGCAAATAAATATTTCATTAATTTAAACAGTGTACAATATTAACACTTGATATTATTTAAAAACTCCTCTTTGACGGTTCTCCTTTGAATTTTGCCGGATGGGGTTTTTGGTAATGCCTCTACTATTTTCACGCCGCCTCTAATACGATGACTACCTGACACTCTGGCGTTGACAAACTCGATTAACTCATCCACTTTTATATCCGAATTCTTCTTCGGTACGACGCAAGCTGCAGCGTGGAACCTACAAGAATGGACCGCTAAAAGTATTTCTCAACATTTAAAAATACAAGTAGTACCTATCTATAGGGTGCGGTATCCCGAAAACGACCGCCTGCCTGACAGACGGATGTTGCAGGAATACCTCTTCAATAAGAGATGGCGACACGTGAAACGTTCTGTACTTGAACGTCTCGCTTATTCTGTCCGTGATGTAGATGTATCCGTCATCGTCGTAGTACCCCAGATCGCCCTGTCTGAGGAAACCTTCGTCGTCGAACGACTCGGGCTTCTCCATTTTGTAGTACCCGCTCAACATGTATGGGGTTCTAATCAGCAATTCCCCTTGCTGATTAGGACCTACCGGCTTTCTGGTCTCCACATCTATAAACTGTGATTGATTCAACCGGCATCATCTAAGTCTATGGCAGCACCAAGTCTTACCTTTAACTCTACGTCGGGTAGTGGTGTTCCGGACGACGACACCTTCTCTAGATACGCTTTGGTCTGGGTGTGATCAAACGCTATCGCGTAATTCACCTCACTGGTGCCGAAAAGCAGAGCCACGTGGGTGTGTTTCAGCAAATTCCTGAGCCTCAGTAAGTGTTGCGGGGCGATAGTGGATCCTCCGATATGGTATGAATACAAGGAAGACGTGTCGTACTTGCTTACCACTTCCGGATCGAGGTCAGTGAGTGAGTACGATACAATATTTGAGCTAAAGATGTAGCTTATCTGGAAAGCGTACTTGCATTAACATGATGATGTTTGGTGGTCCGCGTGCGCACTTTATACTTTTCAATGAGCTGCAACAGTCTTTCTCCCTCCATGTTGGATCCAATAACCTTGGGAATGGCCTCCAATACGCACCAGCCGGTCATCATGACGGCGGACGCCCAGTACATCGAAGAGAAGTGGATCAGCACGCGGTTTTTCAAGCTGTTGTGTCTAAAACATGCCCATCTTATTTCAACCAGCTTAATAAGATGCACCTCTTTTACTCCTTCAAACCACGAGCACCGTATAGCAAGGAATAGTGACTGATGCAGATGCCTTTCGGTACCGACGTGGTTCCACTGCTGAACATGATGACCGCGACGTCATCGCCGGTAACTTCAGCCAGTTTGAAATCGCAAATGTCAGCTCGTTCTATTTCCGCCATGGTTTTATACTTTGCGGATTTTCCTATGACTATAATACGGGGAAAAATATCCGAACCGACAAGACTGTCTTCCACCAGGCGCAGGGAGTCTTCTACGACGAATACGACTTTGGGTTCCACGATAGCCAGACATCGTTTCACATCGGGAACTTCCTGCTTGGGGTCCACCGAGGCGACGCGAGCGCCGATATACCACGCGGCCAGCGCTGGAACTATGTTGTCGGAGTTGTTTTTGCAGCACAGCATCACCACGTCTTGGGGATTCACTCCTAACTCCCGCAAACTCACCGCGATTGGCACGGACCTTTGCTTTAAGGCCGCAAAGGTGTCTTGGGACTCAGCGTCAGCGTCGATCTAAAATTAGTTATTTCTCTCCATTCCTTACAATAGCGCTTCTCTTATTTAGAAAAAAATCTAACGTTTAACGTATTGTTATTTTAGTTTTTCGAGTTAGTTACTTAATTAATTTATATTTTTTCATTTTACCTACTATATCACCAACACGGAACACGAGACAAGTAGCAATACCTGGAAAATTTTATCTCCATTTTTCTCAGCCTGTTCTAAGAAAACCGCACCCAGACTTTTGCTTCTGTCTTTCAGAGACGTGCCCTTTTTACCCCTTACGATACCACGTAGCATAATTGAAAACTTTTATCGGAAACCACCAGTACCGGTAAAATGAGAATGTTTTCCATTTCTCCTCGTATTTATGCATTGCATAACAACTCCAGTGCCAGACTTGCTGAATGAATGAAATACTGAATTGGACGTATGCGGGATAGGGATTCGCTTGAATGCGGACCTGGCATTTAAGGCGCAATTATCCCATCGACCTTGCTCTTGTTCAAATGAGAGGCCGATCGAGGCTTACGATTAGACGCCACGCGCTCGTAGAGGTCGGTTTCATCACAAGAGAAAAAAAATCGAAAAAAAAAACAACATTTTAAAAATGTTATTTTGATATTTTTTTTGCTCTTTCAATTGGATAAAAAATGATACATAACTCGACTTTTATGGCAGCTAATGGACAATTCTTTCGGAAAATAAAATGATATAGTAATGGTGTTCAGTCAAATCTCCAGTAATGCCAGTGAGAAAAACAAATTTCAATCGGAAATCTCATTTAAAAATATGAAGTCTCGATTCTGCCATGGTTTACCTTCTTCTATTTTCTGTGTTTCTTTTCCTCAGGAAAATTCATTTCCTTCACTTTTTCCACAATTTCTTCTTGTGCATGGGTGAAATAAAATCGTCTTTTTCATTTCAGACATTATTTTGTCAAGGGATGGTCAGCTCTCCATCTACCTGCCATTCTCGGGAAACTTAACAATCATAACATTACTACGCCTATACGGCTAAATTTGACAGTTCAGATTTTAAAATATGTATAACCAAACGTTTTAAGAAACAGAGCATAGCTCTGATTTGATGAGACTCGGTTGCAAATTAAGGAACTTCATCCAAACCCACTGCAATGCAATTTGATCATAGCTGAGTGAGTCAAGCGACCAGTGGCGTACTTCAGGATTAGTATGCGAAACGAGAAGAGAAAAAGTGTAAAGAATACGATATTCTTTCGTTCAGTTCGCCTGACGTAGAAAATAATTCGAATAGGTACCAATTCCCGACCTCTCACAAGTATATCCAAGTAACATTTTTAATTACTTCAACTTCACTTCATTTATATACAAGGTTTATAGTGCTTATAACAATGATCCACGGTAATTTAGGTTTATGGTTGGGAAATACTGGTGATTTTACAAAACCTTTAGTTCCCAGCCTTTTTAAGTTGTAAAACGGCCCGCAAAAGATATAGAACATATTTCAAAATTTTTGGTAACTTGTCAGCTACCTAGTGAAATTCACAGTTCGAGGTTTGGACTGTTTGGCCTTTTGGAAGGCTTTAGCATTTAGGACTTTTCTCCTTTACATTGGAATCATAATGAATCATTTGAAAATCTTTGCGAGGAAAAGAGCAATGCAATAAATTTTGCACCAGTACGTAAGCTAATGCGAAAAACATAACGAACATAGAAAATTTCCTTTTCCTCTGTCAGAAGATCAAAAAACAAAAACAGTTGATTTCTATGAAAACAAAACAAAGTTGTAGATTTACAATTTATAGGTGGTCGCCTTATGGATCAGATTAACATTCTTAAAAAACATATCAAAATATTTTGAAAACCCAGTTAACTCATCTTATTTAAATATTTTTTTGTTCTTATTATATGGAAGATTCTGAAAAGTCTACACAGTGGATGAAATTAAGTCAAAATTAGTTAAGATAAAGATACACTCTTTACATTTGGACAAAATTAAAATTAAATTAATTAACAAGTGGTTTATTTTTAAATAAAAATCATCAAGCTATGTGTTATGTCGAACAAGATAAACAGTAAAATCCTTTAGAGAATAAATAATATAATTTTATGCCTAGGTAGGCACCTGGAGTAAGATAATTACATTATATCAGTTGATTCTGTTGATTTCAACTTCTATTCTACCCGTTGATTATTATTTTTTCTTATTTCTGATATACGTTAAATTTTCATTTGTATTTTTAATATTTCACATCCTTTTTTTGCTTTCTTCCTTTTAGCATTCTTGATAACACTTTTGAACAAGTCTTCACATTGTTTTAAGCTAAACTGCTCCAGCTTTATCGATAATGAGGTGAAATGTTTTGACTAAATTGGTAGATGTTTTAAAACACATTTCGTGTCCTTGTTCTCCGCTTCCCCCTTGTGATTTGAATGGGCTTAACATAATCAAATAATAATCTGTTTTTAATCTACACACTTTTTTTTGTTTGTTGGTCAAGACAAAACATTTTTAAGTTCCCATGAACACAGCACGACTTTAAAGAATTGTGTGTCAAGTTCTGGTTCCTAGGTAAAAACTACTTAAAAAATTTGTGCAATTGCATTGCAAATAAACCAAAAAGACGTGGTCTTTACCTCTGAATTTATATAATGGAGAGTACCACTGGCTTTGCTAATGGGTCTTGCCAGGTGAGTTTTATAAAGGTTTCGTCAAATAATTTCCTACTATTGGTTGGTAGTCTTCAGTTATGTAAATTAGAAATAAAAGTTATATAAATTACTTATACTTATACCTTGCTAAGTCTAACATAAAACTATAAATGTTACTTGGGTATAGTGCCGACAGAATTAAATTTATTTCCATTGTGTCAATCAGTTTTAGTGAATTATTAAAATCAACATCGAACCACAGTGCCCTAGAAATCGGAGAGAATATTGTGAGCCGTCACTCAATATAGAGATAAATTATTGCCAGACCAAGTTTTCCTCAAACAGCTTAACATTCTGCTAAAAGGAAACCACCAGTCGAGATTGCGTTTACATAATCTGCTTTATTTAATTTCCACACATTTGTTGAGCGTTTAATCTTTGCGCCAACAACAGATTGCGAAAGCTACGACACAACTTTTATCTCCAATAAATAAATAATACCAACGATGATTCAGTAGAAATATTAAAATTTACTAATTTATTAAGGTCAACTTCGTAAGGCTTCTCAATTAAACTAACCAAAACTAATTTTGTCTTTATTTATGTATTTGAACAAATTTTTCAATCTTCTACGAAAAGATCTCTGATAGCTCTTCTTCGAACTTTCCCGGTAGGTGTTCTGGGTATTTCATCGACGATCTTGATGCCGGCTCTGATGTGATGGTTGTCGGGCATCTTGCTGTTAACGAAAAGCACTAGTTCCTCCAAATCAACTTGGACACCTTCATTAACCACGATACAAGCCGCTGGTCGAGCCCTGCGGATCACCATTCAACATCATTTTGCTAGAGATAGAGGGAACCTACGTGTCTATGGGGTGAGGAACTCCAATCACCACGGCTTCCTTAACCGAAGGATGAGTCATCAAAACGTTCTCGATCAACGAAGGCGACACTTGGTCCTTGAGATACTTAAAAGTCTCGTTGACTCTATCCCTAACATAGATATACCCGTCTTCGTCGTAGTACCCCAAATCGCCTTGTTTTAAAAACCCTTCGTTGTCATAGCTGTCAGGCTTATTTAAATGGTAATACCCGGACATGATGTACGGGTTCCTTACCAGTATTTCACCCTGCTGGTTGGGTCCTAACAACTCTGAAGTTTCCACGTCTACAACCTAACGCGACGTTGGAAACCTCTCGGTTTATTTGCGAACAACTAGGACCCACCTTTAGTTCTATGTCAGGAAGAAGGGTGCCGGACGAGGAGACTTTCGCGTCGTATGCCTTTTCATCGGTAAAATCAAAAGTGGAGATTGTGTTGGCTTCAGTAGAACCGTAAATCAAAGCCACTTTGACCCCCGGAAGCAGTTCTCTTAATTTTAAGATTTGGCGGGGCTCTACTGGTGAACCGCCTATCAGGAAGGAATATAACGAGGACAAGTCGTACTTGCTGATGATGTCGCGTCCTAAACTCGTAATCTCGTACGAAAACATGTTGGACGTAAAAAAAGACGTAACCTGAAACAAACCCGTTTAACTTTTGAGGAGCTCCGTAGAGGCAGGTTTGCCTTGTATTTGTCGACGATCTGTAGAAACCTCTGAGCGTCGATGTCGGTACCAACGACTACTTTATAGCCTTGCGCAATGGACAGCGCTGTGGCTATGACGTATACTCCCCAATATAACGAGGAACGATGGAGAAAGACGTCGGGCTTAAAGGCATTGTGCCTACGAGAGCTTGGAGGTAGTGCAGTAGCGATAAGAATGGAGGACTTACTCCACAGTGCCGGTCCACCCATACAAGACGGCATAGTGGCTAACACATATACCTTTAGGAGTCGAAGTGGTGCCGCTGCTGAATGATATCAACGCAATATGATCTCCCGTCAAAGCCAGAGGCCGAAAGTTGTCCTCTTCAGGGATCTTTTCCTCCATGTCCGCCATAGTTTTGTAGACGTTGGATTTTCCGATCACCACGATAGCGGGTGAATAACTGTAGAGCTTGAGACTTTGCTGAATTAAATCTAACGCGTCTTCCACTACAAAGATAACTTTAGGCTCCACGAGACCTAGGATATGATCTACATCGAAGCTTGTTTGCTTGGGGTCTGCCGAAGCCACGTAGGCTCCGAGGTAAAACGACGCTAGCAAAGGAACTATGTTGTCTAAGTTGTTCTTGCAGCAGATTAGCACCACGTCTTTGGATTCGATGCCTAGTTTTCTAAGCTCGATGGCAACACGTACCGAGCGTGTTTTGACTTCTCGGTAAGTTTCCATTTTGTCTGTATCGGCGTCTATCTACATTTAGGAGGAAAATTGTGAAATTTTGAAATGAATAATTTGTAGTTTCTTCAATACTTACCTGGAAAATTTGGTCGCCAATCTTCTCTGCCTGTTCGAAGAATAGCTGCCCCATGCCCATGTTCCTGTCTTTAGGCACGGAGCTTTTTTTGCCATATAAGATTTTACCGGACATTTTTAATTGCAGTGAACTGTACCAATTTGGTTTACTAATTAAGCATTACGTTTTGAAGTCACACCTATTGTTTAATTTTTATCTGTTTATTAATGATAAAATTTAGCTACTTTGCTGCTTTATCTTGTTATTTAAACGAGTGTGTTTTGCTGATATCAATACTTTGTTGCTAACTTCAAGTCTGATTCCTGTTTTATATGTTGTTCACATAGATTACAATATGCGATATTTGTGACGTCCGCAAACGCGATTACGCAAAATTTCTTCAGTGACGTCATAAGACAGTAAATATTATACATCTTACAATTTTTTTCCATTGCTCAATCAAATAATTAATCTTTTTGTATTCTTTTAGGGCCATCGCGTTGTGACAACTCATGAAATTGGAGGCATTTATTGTTATCTTTTCATTTACAATTTCTTTTAATAATTTACAACCTTTAATTTTGCGATTTTAAAAAATCCTCTTTGACCGTTCTCCTTTGAATTTTGCCGGTGGGAGTTTTCGGCAAAACGCCGACCATTTTCACCCCACCCCTGATTTGATGACTGTCCGATACCCTAGCGTTGACAAAGTCGATCAACTCGTCGACGTCGATATCGGAATCCTTCTTGGGTACCACGCAAGCGGCAGGATGAAACCTGTAAGGAAGAATGTGTAAATGCATTTTCTCAGCGGTTAAGGTATAAGTAATACATATCAACAGGATGCGCAACTCCGAACACGACCGCCTCCCTGACCGAAGGATGCTGCAGGAAAACTTCTTCAATTAGAGATGGCGACACGTGGAACGTTCTGTACTTGAACGTCTCGCTAATTCGGTCCGTGATGTAGATGTAGCCGTCATCGTCGTAATATCCCAGATCGCCCTGTTTGAGGAAACCTTCGTCGTCGAACGAATCGGGCTTCTCCAGCTTGTAGAACCCGCTCAACATATAAGGCGTTCTAATCAGCATCTCCCCTTGCTGGTTGGGCCCAACCGGCTCTCTAGTGTCCACGTCTACAAACTGCCAGTGATTGAACATTGATTCGCGTCTGTAGATGCATCGGTCTTGCCTTCAACTCTACGTCGGGCAGCGGTGTTCCGGAAGACGACACCTTTTCTAGATACGCCTTGGCGTTGGTGTGGTCGAACGCTATCGCGTAATTCACCTCACTGGTGCCGAAAGTCATGGCGACGTTAGTGTGCTTGAGCAATTTTCGGAGTCTTAGTAGTTGTTGCGGGTCCATGGTGGATCCACCCATGTGGTACGAGTACAAGGAAGACGTGTCGTACTTGTTTACGATTTCCGGATCGAGATCCGTGAGTAAGTACGACAGGGTGCCCGAGCTGAAGATATAGCTAATCTGGAAAAAATACTCGCGTGAGAGTGATGCACTTTGGTCATTCGGACGATCTTACTTTGTACTTTTCGATGAGCTGTAACAGTCTCTCTCCGTCGATGCGAGATCCAATCACCTTGGGAATGACGTCTAACATGCACAAACCTGACAACATGACGGCGGACGCCCAGTAGGTGGAAGTGAAGTGCATCAGCATGCTAGGTTTCAGGCTGTTGTGTCTAAAACGCGTCAATTAATTTTGGTTAAAATTAGGAAAGCTCGACAAATTTACTCCACCAAACCGCGAGCGCCGTATAAAAGTGAATAGTGACTGATACATATGCCCTTTGGTACCGACGTGGTTCCGCTGCTGAACAAGATTACCGCGACGTCATCGCCGGTAACTTTAGCCAGTTTGAAATCGCTAATGTCAGCTCGTTCCATTTCCGCCATGGTTTTGTACTTTGCGGATTTTCCTATGACTATAATACGGGGAGAAATATCCGAACCGACAAGACTGTCTTCCACCAGGCGCAGGGAGTCTTCTACGACGAATACGACTTTGGGTTCCACGATAGCCAGACATATTTTGACGTCAGAAACTTCTTGCTTCGGGTCAACCGAGGCGACGCGTGCGCCGATATACCACGCGGCCAAAGCTGGAACTATGTTGTCGGAGTTGTTTTTGCAGCACAGCATCACCACGTCTTGAGAATTCACTCCCAACTCCCGCAAACTCACCGCGATTGGCACCGACCTCTTCTTTAAGGCCGCGAAAGTGTCGTGAGAGTCAGTGTCTGCGTCGATCTGGCGTTATTCATTATTTTTTATTAGCAAAATATTCTATCTAAAATTCATACCTGGAATATTTTGTCGCCATTTTTCTCAGCCTGTTCTAGAAAAACACCGCCCAAAGTTTTGCTCTTATCTTTCGGCAAAGTGCTTTTTTTACCCCTCACGATACCCCGCACCATATTTAGCGTCGATCGTGAACCACCAGCGAATTTCGATGCGTGTGTGCGATTTGTCAGAAAATATCTTATGTAATCTAATTGATGTTTGCTTCCTCGGCACTCGAAGTCAGTGACGGACTCAAAACTCAAAACCCAATATTTAAAAAACGACATGAAAAGCGCGGGAATGGTCGGGACGTCGTTATTTTCAGGTTATATTCCCACAATTATATTAGTTACTTTATTTTTGGCTCGTGTAAAAAGTATTCAATCTACGCCAGTTTGTACTTTTGGTTAGTGTGCTTTACATGATAATAATGGAAGCAACACAAAACCAATACAAATCGTGCCATCGCGTTTGAATACAACCCGTAAAACGCCATATAAACTTCTTCGTCTACCAGAAAATAAAAACCGGGCGTTTCTTGTTAACATTTTTAACTTTTGGAACTTGTATCCATTCTAGTGCATTATCCATAGGAATGACTTGCTGATCTATAACTTTAAATTATCAGTGCCAAAATCAAATCAAAATCAAAATTTAGGTTTCCACTAGTTTAAAAAAAAATTTCTCGTTTTTTTCTCATTTTATTTGATATACCATTTGAATTTTAAAAACTAGAAAACTTTAAGCTAATGAACTTTAAACCTTTTAAAACACCGGCTTCGGTTATTTTCACTTTCTTTTTGATACACAAGAAAACAAAAGCAAGGGACATGATCATTTAATTAGCATAAACGTACTTTTAAAGGCAATATTTTTCAAAATAAAGTTTTGCTCAAGTTCCCGATTGTTGGTATTGAAACTCCAATATTTAATCCCGGTACGACCCTGCGATTTAAATTCGCCTTATCATTAGCAGAAAACGGTTTTGATTTCGTTAAAGGCGGCCGAAAACAAAGATAAGATATTAATTGCCGTAGGTGAAATACAGTATTGAAGAAAGACAACAAATGATTGCATAAATTAAATCAAGGAAATATGAAAAAGCCAAGAAATTGTTATTGCTGCAGGATACCAGTTTGCAGCAGGATGAAAGGTTATCTATCTGAATAGAAACGGAATATGGGTTTCAAAACACATTTGAAAATTGCATCTCATTTCAAATTTCTTCATGTATATTTTGGGTTAGTTTTGGGTTATTATATGAGTCCCTTTTTTTTTATTAGATAAAATTAATTAATTAAATTGAATTAAATAAAATCCGGTTGCCTTTTTATCAATGACTTAAATTAATATCTATTTTATTCTATCGGTTGCCCGTGAAATAAAGAAACGAGTATTTATTCTTTTCCGAATTCTTATCTTCATGTTTCGCGTAAATGATTGTGGAAAACCAATAGAAAGAAAAACTGCTTTTCGATATGGAATTTGTCTGGGCCTTTTTCAACATTCGGATTTTGTTTCTCTTGCGCACTTTGTCTTGTAATCCGAAGGAATAAAAAAATGCCACGTTGGTATTTTGTATGCAATCCATGTTATCGACAAGGCGTCACGGGGACTTCATTGTATTTGATAGTCATATAAACTTAGGTGAAATTAAGATAAAAATTTTGGGTTGTACAAATTTAAGGCTCAACTATAATTAACTAAGACTTAAATACTTTTGGAATGTCCATGCGTACAACTAGATAAGACTTATTTATACAATATTACTATTAAATTAAAATTTAAAAAATTGATATCAAACTCTTGGATTTTTTGAGGACCTATCTTTTGCCTAAATGAGTCAAACGAGTCTGTTTTATTAAATATATTATTTTAAAGGTCTATGTCATACATGTTATATCATTCTTGTACCTGGAGTGTCCTTGTTCTCATAGGATAATTAAAATGTCAAAAATCCAAATCTGTTTTTGTTAAAAATATTTATTAACCTGCAAGCACCCTCAATATAAAAATTTTATTTCGCGGCACTGTACAGTTCCAAACGACATACGTGATAATCATAAAAAATCTGATTACTGATATATGCAAAATATGCGGCCTAATTAATGTTATTTACAAAATAAAGCTGGTGTGCAGTTCATATACATATATATTCTCAGTTCCTGCTTGATATTTATATAAAAATGAACGGGCTCTAGACCGCCAATAACATATTACGTTATTATCTGAATAGGTGCTATGGGATACGAAAGGTGAGCTAGATTCAACTTGCTTCTACCTCACCTTGAAATATAACCTGAGTGCCAACATTCGTTTGATAATCATATATACATAGATATAGAGGTTCCACACTTGCACAGGAGAACTGAACTATTTATTCCTGCTGCTGTGCTCCTGCTCGAGATTGATGTACTGCCGGACCAGCCTGGATATCTCGTGGGCCTGCTCAGTCTGCAGCCTCGTCACCCGCTGCTGAAGCAGGTTACCGCACTTCATATCCAAGAATAGGGCTCCGTCCTCAGACCTGACCTTCCTTGTGCTGATCACTTCCGCGAACGGCCAATGTTGAAGAGTCTCGTGGGTGTTCATATCGAGGAAATGGACTCCGCCTCTGTTTAGAGCCAGGATATGTTCCTGCCAGTGTTCCGGCTCACCCACCACACGCTTGACAGCGAAAAATGAGCTTCCTGCAACAAAAATTTATTCTTTAGCAGCAGTACGCCTTAATGGCACGTGGTGTTTACCGAACAGAGGCCAGCTACTGAGAACCTGCAAAACCCTATGCTTGGCTCTGGAAACTGACAAACCGACCGCTTGGCCCCAACTGGTTTGCACTAGAGCCAACCATTGCGGCGGTCTCGGCTCCCTCAACCCCAAGACGGGTTTGGGTAGCAAAAATTTAACCTCTTTTAAGTTGGGAGAGTGCCCCAAGTCCGCAGCCCTGTGCAGCAATGCCGCTACTAGAGCCATATCTCTGACAACGCTCGGTGGTAGATTGGGGTTGCCCAGTCTCAAGAGGAGACCCTCGAGGTAGTCGGGGGCCACTTGGTTGAACAGTACTTCGGTGTAAAGAGGACTAGCATCGTGCTTTAGCGGGTGATACCACACGGAGCGGCAGAATATTAAATAGAACGGTTGACCAGCCTTGTGAAGCTCCGTGGTGACGTCCAAGATGTATTCGTCAGATGCCAAAGGCATGGTAAAAGCGTCGCCTTGAACTATGCAATACAGGCTGAACTCTTGCTGCTCGGCCTCGCTGCTGATTCCAATGAGCCCGCAGAGTTCCTGGATAACGTCGGCTACTACGGTACTGCATCGGGTGTTCACCACCCTCTCGGCCCCACCCGGTAGACGGTAGATCTGTCTTCTGGCACTCCTGCCTGCGCTAACGGCGGTCACTTCTTCTACCGAAGGTACGTTCTTCCTGCCGCCGCACCGTTGGGTTTTCCTTAGGTTGCTGAGACACACGGCAGCAGTACCGTGGCAGATTCTCCTCCTGTCATTGGCCGCGCTGGTAAGATGTTCCATTAGATACGGTAGGAGGTTATCGGAACAGGCAAAGTATGCTGCTACTATGGATAGCAACCTCCATGCTCTGAAATAAAAAAGATTAGATCTGAACTGATCAGTGCTGAGTATGGACTAACCTTTGGCTGGACTCTGGCGACTCGGATTTGTTGCTGGTGGTCTGTTTCATTAGCTGGCAGTAGACTTCGTCGCGTAGCTGAGCGTACTTGTGGCAGTGCTGCGAAAGATATTTGATCTACTTGAACATGGTAAATCATCACACACGTACTCGGAAGTACCGGATAGCTCTGTTAGGAGTTTTAGTGTGTCTATAGTGTGAAAATTAATCTACGCAAGCGAGTTTACAGAGAGCGAGAGTGGTGATACAGAGTTTTAGAAGGTGTACAAGTGGCCTATAGCGGCAATGAATCATGTTTACCATGAGGACGGTATAGACGCATTTGACCTCCGACATGTCCGGGGTGAGGGGTTGGTCTCCGCAGTACCTCAGGATGCAGTCGAAGCATTCGATCGCCAGAGGCGTGAGTTCGGGGTCGTCCAAACGTAGCAGCGGACCCTCTATAGCGTTGCCCTGCCATTTGATGACGTCAGTTTGCTGTTTCCACGTCCACTCTTTGCCCTTTTGCTTCGACTTCGGCTGCGGGTCCATCCTTTGATGTTCAGCGCTGCGGGACAGAGATAGATAGATTTTTCTTCTTTTATTGGAAGCACGATAAAAATATTTTATGGGCGGATTTGATGATTACCTTGACAATGGCAATAAAATTTCAATGTTTATTTTTGGTTAATGATTATTACGGTGTCTATTTGATGAGTATAGTGTCGCCTCTTTTTTATATTTAAAGCGAAAATGTTATACGTGATAATTACGATAACAATTATTATTGATTAGACATTGAAAGTAAGCAATAAGTAAGCTGGAAGCGTTTGAGATGTGGGTGTATCGCAGAGTATTAAGGATAAGAAAAGAAAAACTACCTATCGGTCATCTTATGAGACGTAATAAATACAACTTCCTTCAACTCATAACAGAAGGTAAGATCGAGGGAAAACGCGGTCCCGGAAGTCGACAATGCTCTTGGCTGACGATCAGAGACTCACATTACTAAGGAGAACACAAAATAGAGATAACTTGCAATAATTATTGCAGATCTTCATTGAATGGAGATGGCACTTTAAGAAGAGGAATTGAACCTTTACATTTCAATAAAATTATTGCCGTTTATTTAGCTGAAATACAGATAACTGTAAAGCAGATATTGATTCCATAATAATATAAACAATTATCTTTGTGAATTAGAGATTGGTTTATTTTTTTTAAATGTGGGTTTACAAGGTTGCTACAAAGGTATTCAAAATTTTGTGCAGTCCTTTGTAGTAAATTTATAAAGATGTGTAAAAATTATCAATAAAAATTCGTTATTAAATTATATTTAAGTTAGGATATATCACACGTTTTATTTTTGGGTCTATAGTTCAGATTTTTGGTCAATTATAATATAAAATAGATGAGGAATATAAAGCTACAATAAAAAACTATAAGAAATAAAAGTTCTATAAAGCTCTGTTCTAATTCATTCTTTTTTTAAGTAGATCTCCTAAATTAATGGCTTAGCAAATACCCAACAGCCGGGTACTTCGAACATTTAAATGAAAACGAAAGTGCAATTGCGCGAAGAATCTGTTAACAATCGATAGGGAAAAAACAATACAAATCGTTCTTGAGAAACTTTCGCTTATTAAGTATAAGAGTTTTATGGGAAATTTTAATGCAAAACAGATATCGCGATCGCTTGAGAACGAGCAACGCACTTACCAAGAAGCCATCGATTCATTTCTGAAATTTTCAGATGGATGCTTTCAAATCGTGAATTTTTATTGATATTTTTACTGGTGGAATAAGCATTTGATTATCAGCTTACTCTCTTCGCGTTTTCATTAGAGATTTACGTGTTCTAATTTTGAATCGATGGATGTCATACGTCAACTGCCCACCGGCTGGTAGCACGGCTGTCCGTCCATAGGAAAACTGTTGATTACAATCGAAAAAAAAAAAGAGAATAAAAATAAGATGTATGATTTTGCTGGCTACAAATATTACGCGTCTCTCTTGCGTCGATGCTGCAAGGTATAAGTTGTCTTGCAGTATACTCGAATTGCTTCACGAAACGTTCACCCAAAAACACGTCATCGCGGGCGCGCAAAAACCCCAAACCGACCGAACTTCATCTGAATTAGACGATTCCCACGGTGCCGCGTCGTCGACGACAAAAATCGCCCATTTTAAACCGAAAAGCGGCGAATTAACATGCTTTCTAGTTTTCAACAACGCGCGCCCGTTTCACCGGACTTCACTCAAATATGGCCGTGTATAATGCGCTATTATAAAAATCCTCGACAACCGTGAAGAGTATACTACGAGCCAGTTGTTTTTTTCAATTGCCTCTCCGGCCTTGGTAGCTTCCTTGGCGCGTGAAGCTTTGGTTTGTTTTTTTTTTTATTTACAATCCTTTCCATAAAGATGGAAATTCCCAAGGGTTTCCACCAGTTCGTAGATCGATCAAACATTTTATCTACCAGAGCACAGCATCAATATTTTCAAAATCTGCGACAGTGATGTACAGCTCAAAGTATTTATAGTATATTATGCAACCAGTGCGATAAACGGCACTTGACTCACGACACGGCACGGGCGGAGCGAGTGTTTAATAAACAAGTGACTTAAAAAGTTTACCGAACGTGTTGGATACTTTTTCTACGACCATTAATTTTTGGGTACATTTTCGCAAAACAACACGATTACATTCACTGACATGACTGTCAGAATTGACAAACGTCAAAATTCAAAACGTGGGCAATATCTCCGAAAACATCTATCGCTGAATAAAGGGATAGATAGTCACTATAATAATAGTAAAGTCATGTAGAGGGTTTGTCATTCCACAAACTACAAAGCCATTCCTTGCGCAGAGTCTTGAATTTTTCATGGAGACACAGTCTAATGACGTAAGCAAAAATTCATTGATTATTTGTTGTGTGTTGACTCAATTTTAGTCATAAGCTCAAAATGATTCCTGCTTGAGATTGAGAAACTACTCCTCTAATAAATCAATTTGCCAAAAAAAAAAAACGTTTTTTTTTGTATTTTGAATGCTAACCGAATCATTATTTGCTACTTACTCGGCAAGTTGCCTGAAGTTCTGCATAGCGAACTGCATAAGAGAATATTTGCCTGTGGGCGGCAGGGGACTGCTGGGGGATCTGGTGCCGTCCCTACTGTCGGCATACGATATTTTGCGACTTGGAGAATTGTCCCTCAGCGGCTTCACCTGGATGCTGCCAGGGACGACGTCTAAACGATCAACTGGAGGTGACCTCGAGCGTTGTTGAGCTTTCGCTTGGACCTGGAAAGGGAATCCGAATCACGGAGTTGCTAAAACACACTTCTGTTCCTACTGATGGAATATAAGCAAAAATTAATTTCTTTGTTTTAGATAGATAGTCAATGCGGCGAAAATCTCCGAAAACATCCGATTGCTCCCAAACTCGGTAATATCCCGGAAAAGTCCGAAGGTTCTCGCATCCATGGGACAAGAAATTCACGCGGTAAAGTGAAGCACGCTAGATCGGTGTATAATTGCATGATAGATTTTACAGAAACGAGTAAAACAAACCATTTTACTGCTCCTTAAGTTGTTTTATGAATAAGAATAATAAAGAACCATGGAAATGTATCAAGGGAGTTTTACGATATCTAAGAGTGACAGAAAAATGCAAGAGGATGTTTATTTAAATTATTTAAAAATTTTACTACATCTTGGAGCACAAAACGTCAAAATTCAGTAGCAGATTCATCAACAGAAGCTGAGTATATGGGTGTGTTTGAAGCTGTTAAAGGCTAAATTTGGCCCAAATCTTTAGCAACATAGTCAATTGGTTATCATATTTCCACGGGTAATATGTTAACGGAACAATTACCGTCTCCCTGCAATGTAGAAGTGCGTTAGGTTTAGACCAATAATTTATTGATCTGACTAGGTTTTCCTCTGTTTTCCTGAGCCAAGCAACCAAATTTATTATTTTTCCCCAGACTTTCATAAGAAGGAACTTGATTATAATTGTATTTCCTTAATATTGATGTACAACATTTATGTAAAGTTTAAAATTAATTTCGTTATGAATGTTTGCTTAAGAAACATTTGAAATTATAACTATCAAAATCCGCTGGGGAATATTTTAGCCCATACCCTTCAGCTACTTCGTTTCTTTTTCTCAAATTCAAGGATAACCAAAAGGCGTATTTGCCAAAAATCGTATAGACATGGGCTGTATTAGATTTTTCTTAAAAATATGAGGGAACTCATGCTGATGGTAATATTGTTAATTGTTGACGGACCAATTAAGGATGTCTTATGTTAATTGAATAAATAAATGGATATAAAATTACAGTTTTTATTCAGTGTTCTTTATGAGAAACATCTGTTGTGAAAAATTTTTTAGAGTTCGTTTGGAGGTGCATTGAGGATTTCATAACAACTTATTTTCGCCGTAAAATAGTAATCTAGTAAACAAATCGGAAAAATAACATACTCGAAACTCAATCGCGGTTAACCCAAATCAAACCGTTACGCCATGAAATTAATTAATAAATCTACTACACTAGGTAGTTTCCAGCGAAGCCTAATAATGGCCACACGGGCCAGTGAAGAAATAACACGAGTTGCTAGAGCGGAATACTGTAGAATTGGGCTTGAATTGCTTTTGAAAACATGCTAATTGCATATCTTTTTCCTGATGATATTGGTGTGCCCCAGGGCTGTGTATTCGGACCGCTGATATTCGCGAATCGCCATACTTAGTGAAGCAACAAGGAAAAAGAAAGCACCTTAATATTAAATATTGCTCAACTAATCTGTATCTAGGACAGATGCGGCGTACGGAGGAATCGATTACGGTTATTATAATATCAGAACCAAGCTGTTTATTAGCCTAAAACTGAAGCTTCCATAAAATGATACGCTAGCAGAAATGCAAAAAATTGAAGGCTATGATTCCTTGTTTAAAATAAAGGGCTTGTTATAAAAATGTTGTTTGTTGTTGTTGAATAGAAAAAAAAATTGGTAAAATAAATAAATAAATAAATAAGAACTAAAAGTAAAGATTTTCACAAAATTATATATTTTTACATGACAATTGTTTCCGTCTTTATTAAATGTTTATCAAACATTTGATATGTAATTTCGTGAAAATCTGTACTTTCAGTTCTTACTTGTTTTGTTAAATGGATTTTCATCAACTAAAAGCCACGTCAGTTCAATAATTTTTGGGTGCTGTCGAACATTTATCAATTATCTTCTTAACAATAACATTTTAATAATAAATAATAAAGGTTTCAGAATCTGATTGTCTGAATCTGATCTGATTATGCTTATATACATTATTAAAAGAAAACAAGACACTTAGGGCAAAATAAAAATATAATGTTTATAGTAAGTGCTGAAAATGCAATTATCAGATTTCTTAATTCATCAATATCTTGTATTGAGATAGTGCAAACTAATTATATACTAATTCAAAGGATTGAAATCTGAGGATCGAGGCGACCAATGCTAAGGCCCACCTTTTAAAAAAACGCTAGTAATACTATATAATAATAAAAAATAAAAAAACTTTTCCTCCATAGCTGCGATATCTCTTTAATCGCTGGCGTGTATATAATAAACGACCTTTTATTTTAAATAGGGAATCAATTATTTTAGTTTTGACACACCCTGTATATAAGCCATATTGATCCTTGTTTTGATCGGTTTGTGGTTTTGTACATCACTTGTTCAGGCATAGTAATGAACTCGGAGTTCTTTTTGTTTCTATTTGACGATCATTCTAGGTAAAAGCGGGTCTTCCCGCTTACGTGCCAAATACGACGAATAAATTTCCCGGCTTATCGTGGCAGCTGCGTCATTAAGTTCTAGATCGTATAGGCACTTTTTTTCCTAATGAATTTGGCGCGGGAAAAAGTAAAAGTGTGCGGAGAAACCGTGGTCTAAAAAAGGCACGTTTCAAACGACGTATCTTATAAAAGAAAGCGTCGACTATGCAGGAAACGCCGAATTCTCATCAAAGTCGCGACATAGTATCACCAAAATGCTTTTGAACACAGACATGTTCAAAGCATACAAGTATTTAGCGACAGACATAGGTTTCGAAATTTTTAGAAAGGCTAATTTTGTGCCAAGTGAAATAATTGGAGATCAAGGGAACCGCCCGACAGCTGAGCGTTTGCTATAATGTGGAGTAGTTATGCCTTCTACTACAATCCGTGATCGTTTGATGTAAGATATATTGCATCGCCCGAAGTGCGACAATACTAAACTGGAATAAGATATGTACAAAAAAATAAACAATTATCTTATTATATCCTTTATAATGATCCGATTGTGTAATAAACAATTACGGCTCAGTTGCACAAAGCTTAGTCAAAAAATAACTAAAGTTTAGCGAGAAGAACTTGCTAAACTGCTAAGCCCTGGAATTATATTTTATGTGTTCCGTGTACCAAGCGCAATCTTTATTTTAAATAAATCTCCATATCGATTTAGATTAAACCGCAGATGACGATTAAAATGAAATGGTGCATAGATTTCTTCTTTAAGTTTAAATGTTTTCCTAAAACAATCTTTTATCTCTGTTGCTTAAAGTATCTATACGTTTACATTGGACTATAAGAAAATATATTTCTGATATATCTAAAAGGAGCGTTTTCTTTGTAAACAGAAGCAATGTTGGTTGTTGAATGAATGGTTAAAAGAGGGATTTTAAATCTTGCGCATGCTCATGTTGTATTATGGGCGTTAAGTAGGGCCTCTATATCTCTACTAGCCATATGATTACGATTAACTCAATTTTAAATAAAAGAGGTTCTTATATGACTCAGTATACTGCAACAACAAAAAACAGGGTTATGCAACAATGTTATTACAGAAAATTAGTTAACTGGCCCTTGTTTCAGCTTTTTTATGAGACGAGCTCACAAAAACAGTTGAACCTACTAGACTTACGCATTAAAATTAAAAGCTAACAATAACTTCCTACGTAAGTTTTTCTTTATTATTCTGTATATGTATTTTGTAAGCGACCAGTAGGTAAGGAGAAATAGTACCAAAATGAAAATACAACAAAGGTCATTTACATATACAAAAAAAAACTGTGATTGAAACAGATTTGTTTCAATTTTTGAAAAATGCAAGATCAGTTGAGAAATCGGCTATTTTTCTTAAAGAGTTCTTTGTTATGATGTGCTATTGTTCATCATCGTATAATTACCAATTATTATACACATCTCCATTATACTTAACTTTAATAGTGTGACTGCAAATCCAATCACGTTTACTAGCTTTGGTTAGTTCTTCTAAAAACCTATCGTAAATATTTATAAACTATCTATAGCCTCAAAACGCAGAGAAGTTGTATTACGCGCACGTGCCAACAACTGCCAGAAACTTACCCTCAAACTGTCCCGACCGTTGCCAAAGTGTGAGGAAATGTTGAGGAAACAACAAAGCAGTCGTTTGAAAGTCATACGTAAATGGTAAAGACCAATTTTACACACTCCAGACATCCCAAACAAGTTACAAACCATATAGCTACCAGAGATATAGAGACCTTACCTAATGCCGATAATACTTATGAAGCGACTATGAAAAAAACAATAACCTTGCCGACATGGCTGCTGACAGCCAAGAAGTTTGAATGTATCATTTTTAGGGCAGTATTTTCTAAAAATATGAACACGAGCTAAGAGTGTAGAAATCTCTATTTAGAAAGAAAATGGCTCAAATGTAGAGGCTATTGTATTATCTAATATGTTAGAAAGTAATATGAAAACAAATCTTTAAGATTTGCTTCAATTAGTAAAACTCTATAGGTTTTTAAATTATGGCAATTTATTCTAGAGTTCTCCAGAACATCTAATATGACCCTCGACGTGAATCCCCCTTATAATTAATTACCTACTACGTAAGTGCATTATAGTTAATTAGTAGAGCATTTTAATGTTATCTGTTTCATTGGCCCCTACAAAAAAATCACTTACGGCTGTATAACGATTTACCTCGTTTTTTTTACGATCACCATCCTTAGACCCGGAACAACCCTCTTTAGAATGAGACGCATGCGCGCTCCCCGTGACAACGGTTTCCTTGGCGACGGCGCCCTTAACCTCTTTGCGTTTTTCTTTGACGCCTACGACGGCAACGGCCTTCTTGACCGCCCTCTCCGGCGTTTCAACAGCGGCGTGGTGCTCTTTCGAGATCTTCTTCTCCGTTTTCGGCGGTTTCTTTTTAACCGACTCGCCGGAAACGGATTTAACGCCGTCGTAGTTGTTGTTCTTATCCTTCTTCTCCAC